AGATAGACTCAGGCCCAGGCCCAGGGTCACGAGGTCAGCAGAGGACAAGAAGCTGGGTCAGAGGGAAGTGGGTCTACCTTATTCCTTGTTGGGGGTTGTCAATTCTGATGCATAGTGAGATGGAGTAGAATTGCCCCAATGGGTTTTCTAGGTGCGGACTCCTGGTGTGGCCCTGTAGGATAAGCAATGGACTGCTAACTTTAAAGCTGGCAGTTCAAACCCATCAGCCACTTCTCGGAAACCCCATCCAGGGTTGCTATGAGTTGAAACGGTTTTGACAGTACTTAATAACTTAGCAGTTTTTACAGGAGCACAATGTCCTTTCTCCCAAAGAGCAGGTGGTGGGTTTGAACCCATCTTTTGGTTAGCAGCTGAACACTTGTCTGTTGTGCCACCAGATTCCTTTCTTGTACCTTGTTGTGTGTGACCAAGTTGATTCTGACTTATGAGTAGGACTGTCCCGTAGGGTTTCCAAGGCTGACTTCTTTACTGAAACAGATTACCACATCTTTGACCTGCAGAGCAGCTGGTGAGTCTGAACTGCTGACCTTATGGTGAACAGCCAAGTGTTTATGCAATGTGCCACCACGCTTCCTCCCTTTTGTCTTAGTTAGGACATTCTTTCCAAGAGCCATTTGTGGAACCAAAGGGAGGAAGACATCCTCTCCCACTCCAAGCCAGTGCTCTGGGCCTGCAGCTGGACAGTAGGCCCAGGGACCATAATTCAACCTATAACACTTGAGTTCCTACTATGCTTGGCGGGCACCAGGTCAGGGATCCTGAGTGAGTCATGGACTTTGCTCTCAAGTTCAGGGCCAGCCTGAGGATAAGATAAGCGCCGAGGGTTCTACAGCCTGCTGGGATGAGATAAGGATGGTGGGAGAGGCCAGGGTGTGGGGAGGGCCTCACCAGGGGCATGTGGGGGCCCCGGGATCTGGAACAGCAAGGACAGAGGAAAGCTTCGCTAGGGATGGGGCAAGGACAGTGTCCTAGGGGCCAGAGCGGGGAGCTGGACACTTAATGAAAAGGTCCCCTTTGCTGTGTGACTTTAGCAGGATGCTCATCCTCTCTGAGCCAGTCTTCATCTCCTACACGGGTGCGCGAGGCTGGCCTTGCATTGTAATGTACGTGGGTACCTGGTACACAGAAAGGGCTCATGATCTGGTTCCTACTACTAAGCAGTTTGGAAATTATTCCTAAGTCTCTTTCCATTTTTTGTTATAGCAGCAGAAACATTTTTATTTAAAGAACACGTCTGGAAAAGCTCGATGAGTAAGATACAGGCAGGAATAAGGTCACTGAGGAAGGCTGGGGGGAGCTGGGTCACGGTCTTATTCACTTGCCACTCACACCCTCAGTGATGGCCTTGGGGGACATATTCCCTCAGGACTGGAACAGGGAAGCCGGAGTGAGTGAAGGGGAGGCTGGCCCGGGGTGCCTGTCCCCTGGGGGTCCAGTATGAAGCCCAGGGCCACACTGAACATCAGTGGGCACTGTGTTGGGTGCCAGAGGGTCCGTCACACACACCTGGGCTGAACTCCGGGGTAAAGGCAGAAACGTCAGCAGAAACAGTCAACATCTGGAATGCAGTGCTCAAGGAAGCCCATGAAAGAACTCAGGGCCAAGTGGGCTTCCTGGAGGTGGCAATGCTTGGGCAGAGTCTGGAAGGGTTAGTAATGGGCTTGGGGAAAAAGCGGGAAGAGTGTTCCAGGCAGAGGGAACAGCATGGGCAAAGCAGAGACATGTCACCGACCTCCGCAGTTGAGACTCACAGAAGGGGTGATAGACAGGCAGGAATGAGACAGGAGGGAGTTGGGGCCCTGGGTGGTGCCCTGGGTGTCTTTGCAGGTCCTGGCGGCTGGCACTGAGGTGAACATACCTGTGACCTATGGAATTGGCAGCCAGAGGGGAGCCGAGGGCACTGGCTGTCAACTCATAGGTCAGAGCCCTGTGCACTCGGTCTGGGCAGCCTGCCAACAACCTGCCACCCTTTGTCGTCCTGGAGTTAAGAGTCGGACTGTGGAGGGTCCTGTGGTCTTCGGGCAGTAGCCACCTCTCCTCCGTGAGTCACGGCCCCCTCCCCAGATAACAGCAGCCCCACTGGAACCAGTGGGCACTTCCACATGGAGTTGCTGTTACAGGGGGTGGGAGCCCATTGGAGGCCTGGGCCCTGCCTGCCTGGCCTCTCCCCTTGGGCATGGGTGCCGGGAACACCCAATACCCATCCGTGAGTCCCCAAGTCCTCGTGATTCCAGGTGCATGGTCTTTTTATTGAGGCGCCTTATCATCTGGAGTCCACACCCATTGCCCCATCTGATGCCAACACTTCTTCCCTGGGCGAAGTCCAGGCTCAACCCCAAATCGGCCCCATAAAGCCAGGAGCGGCTTGGATTTACAGCTCCCAGCAGCCTTTGCCCGCTCTGTGGCTCCACGTCTCCTCATTTCCTTGTTTCTTTACCAACCGGAGCTGGGCCTAGAGTTCCAGTTTTGGGCTCCACCCTCTGCCCTTTGCCCACACTCCCTGCTGGAGTCCTAGGGGCCTCCACCCCACTGCCCAACTCACAGAGTAGAACTGCCTCACTGCCTCTCCAAGGCTGTAAATCTCCACAGAAGCGTATTGCTGCATCTTTCTCCTACACTGTGGCTGGTGGGTTAGAACCCTCAACCTTTGGTTAGCAATAGAACACTTTAACCACTGTACCACCAGAGTTCCTTTTAGGGGCTTCAGAATGCAGAATTTCATGACGATGTCCCCTTGATGTGTGTGTGTGCATGTGTGTAAGGAGCTGGAGAACAGACAGAGAGAAGCGGGGGAAGGGAAGGGAAAGAAGGAGGTCAGTGAGGCGGGAGGGTGGTGGTGGTGGTGGCAGAGAATAGAAAGGACAGAGAAAATACGGGGTACAGAGCTGGTGAGAGACATCAGCAAACCTGCTCACAGAATCCTAACCCAGCCAACTAGGGGAGCATTTATTACCGCAGTGGCCTGGGAGTTAGGGGGCCCGGAAGCTGGTTGACCGTTAGTAAATAGCTTAGCTTCTCAGTTATCACAGGTTCCCATGTAAATCAGGATCTGTGAGGTGACAAGGCCAAGTGACCCACTGAGTGACCCGGGACCTGGGAACAGGCCTCATCTGCAAAGTTCGTCCTCATCCCAGTAAGTGTTAGTCCTTCTGCAGTAGAAAGGAGCTGGACACAGAACCTCTATAGGAGAGGGGCCAGGCCTTTCCCAGCGGTGGAAACAGGCCCAGAGAAGCAAAGGAAGCCACCCAAGGTCACAGAGCAGGGCCTGGGTCTTGGCAGCATCCCCCAGTGAAACTTCTCTCGGGGTGCAGTCAGGTGGGGCAGGGTCCCCAGACAGTGAAGATATCCAAGCTGGTGAACACCTCACTGCAAGTCCAACAGCCCCTCCCGCCTCAGCTGGGACCAGGACTGTGTGGGGTCCAAGTGCCTTGTGGGGACAATGGCAGAAGTATGCTGGTGGCTGCGTAGGCCCCTTGACCCACAGTGGAAACTGAGAGCCAGGGTAGGGAGGTTTTTTTGGTCCCTTATGGCTGCCCAGCCCCCTCCCCTCTTCCTCAGAAAAGCTAGTGACCCTCTGGACAGATGACCCTGTGGACCAGTGACTGGGGTCTTCTGGGCAGAAGGGGCTCAGGAGCTTGTTGGAAGGCTCTTACCTGATGCCTGGCTGGTCTTCGGGGCACGAGGAGGAAGTGGGATGCCCTGGCCCAGCCGCTTTTGAGCCGTTGGCCATGCCCAGGTTGCAGTTACTGATTAACCCAGCCATCAATACCAATGGCTAGTGAGGTCGAAGGGCAGAAACCCTGGACTGTGCCCCTCAGGGTGGGGTGGGTTCCAGGAAGCACTGGGCACCCCATCTCTGCACTGTCCCCATCCCACCTCCCAGGACCCCAGGCTACAAAGTGGCTAGAAATTCTACCGTTTCCTTGATGCCAGATCTCCCCCATTGAAGAGGGGTCCCCTTGGAGGGTGGGAAATGGAACTCTCACCCCTGGGAGGTCTGCAGAAGACCCAGCAACTGACTCCTGGACCCCCTCCCCCCACTTAGTGCAGTGCTTCTGGTGGGGGGGATGGTAGTCACAAGTAGCTCTACCTTGTCCACATGAACCAGTGTATGAGGGGTAATGGGCATCTTCCTGACCATGCAGCAGCCATGATGTCCTCCCAGCCCCAAGGATTCCACTAACCCCCTCCCCCCCTCCGTCCTTCCTCCAGATGATGGGCAGCTCTCCAGTAAGGGCATTGAGTGACCTTCTTAGTCAGTGGGCCAGGGGAATGGGAGGACCTGAGGCTCAGAGACCAGGGTCACAAGGCAAGGGCCTTCCTAGGGTACCCCATAGCGACACATTCCCTGGGGGGCCGACAGAGACAGTTGTGTGGGCTCGACTTAAAGGGCCAGGCCTCCTTCCCTGGTTCACTGAAAGTGGGCCAAGTCTGTCGTACCCTGGGAGGCTATGGAGGAGGGGCCCCAGGCAGGGACAGAGAGCCCAGATTCCGCCCTGCCAAGCTGGGTGTGCCGGAAGGATGTGGCGCCCCCTGGTGGAGAGATGGGAAGTGGCGCAATGAGGCTGAAGCAAGGCCCACAGAACAGAGGGTGGATGGTGGGCAATTTATTCCACTCATGCAGACAGGGTGACCCACCAGCTCAAGGAGCTTACAAACACTGAACCACATGGCGTCTGTCCCCCCACCTCCATAGAGACACAGAAAGTGTCGGGTTGGGTCCGAGTCCGAGGATCCAGGGCAGCAGTGTGGCCCATGTGGTGGTGAGGGGCGTGTCCTTTCTCCCCAAAGGAAAAGTGCAGAGACGGGGCTGGGCCCCAGGGCGGGGAGGCCCGCCTCACAGCAATTGGCACCGGGCAGAGGTGTCCTTCTGGTGGCCGGTCCCTGAAGGGCCAGCCCCACTGAAGACTCATGACTTGGTAGGCACATAAGCTGGTGACACTGGTGGGCAGTGGCCCATGGGTCCCAACGCCAGAAGCTCAGTCCTGGGTCTCCTCGGAGCGCCACTTGAGGGCATGGTCCTTGTGAGCATCGGGGAGGATCTGGTTTCGCATGCCCCCGAGCAGATTGGATGTGGCCTCTGTGGCCAGGATGAGGGGTTTCACCACCGTGGGGGGCAGCTGACGAATTACACCCCCTACAGCACCGGTCAGCCCCTTCTGTTCGTGGCCCCGTGATGCCACATCGCAGATGGTCTGAGCCGTGTCCAGAATGCCCTGTGAGGGTCAGAGGTCAGTGCTGGCCTGAGTGAGGGGCTGGGGAACAAGCTGGAGGTGGGGCAGGGCCAGGGCCTCATTACCTCTCGAACCGTGTCATAGGCCTTGGCCACGCCCTCCCGGAGGTCGGCGGGCTGCTGGCCCTTGCGTGTCCTGCGTGTAGAACGCTTGTCCTGCAGGGATCGTGAGATGGGTGCCGTGGGGGACAGGATGTCATACACTGTCTCAGCTGTAGCCTGGGGGAGGAGAGAAATATGGGGTGATGTGAGCTCTGAGGGGACAGGATGTTGGACCGTCTCAGCTGTGGTCAGAGGAGCCGCCCGGGCAGGCATGTCAGCCTTGGTTGGGGGACAGGGTTGGACCCTGGCCAGAACTATCCATAACTGAAGCCCTGCTCAGACCCCCATCCCATCTTCCCTTTACGCCTGCCTCTCAGGTTAAGATTTCAGACAGAAGTGGGCTCCTGAGGGGACTTCCAGTATTACCTGGGAAGGGACTTGGGGTTAGAAGAAGCTTTAGAGAACACTAGAGGATGAAGACCCTTGAGTGTCTTCACAGACCTGAGGAACCCTGTCTTCCTACTGAGTTCCCCATCCGTGCCCCCCCCATGCAGGTCACCACACAGCTTGCCTGAGCCTGACTGTATAGCTCTCATGCCCACCCTCCCTGCCCCCAGAGCCCTCCCCAGCATGGTCAGGGCTGATTGAGACCCTCTGCACCCCAGCAGTAGGGGATGGGGCGGGGGCTCTCATCCTCTGCTCATCCCTCCACTTCCACTCTGGTGACGCTGCACCATTACCCCATGCAGGTCCCAGAATGCACCACGCTTGCTGCTTGTCTGCTCCCTCATTCCCCACCCACTACGAAAGCAAACAAGAAACAAAACCACCAAACCCACTTCCAGAGCTGACTCGGACTCAGCAACCCTGCAGGAGCAAACAACCTCATGGTTCGCTTTCAGAGTGGCAGGTGGGTTTGAACTGCCAACCTTGAGGCATCTAGCAGCCCAACGCCTAACCAGGGCTCTTTCAGGGCTTTAGTGCCAGTCCCGTAGCAAGGCTCACCCTCCCCCCACTGTGACAGCTCTACCCCACCCCACTATGCTCAGGAGAGACTGGGTCTCCAAAAGACCCTGAATAAACTGGGGTGGTTTGGGGTCTTCTTTGTCTGCAGTCACCCACCAGCCCCAGCTGTGAGCAGGGAAACATGTGTGCACTAAAGGCCTGGGGGTGGGGGGGCAACAGGGGTCATATAAGCCTCAGAGCCCCAATCCTGCAGATGTTCCCCTCCATGGCTAACACCCCTCAGTTTAGCAGATGGACCCAGAGGCAGGTAGGGCCTACAGACCTCTGTCTCCCCACCCACCCCTGATCTGTGGCCTCCGCTCAGCGCACCCCAAGGCCAGGCCTGGCTCAGCAGCCCCTGGGGTCCCGGGGATCCAGCACCCCTCACCTGGATGGCCTGCACCAAGCGGTTGCTGAGTTCTAGGGCGGCGGAGGCAGTGGATGAGCCGAAGGAGGCAGCCCCTCTCTGCAGCCCCCGAATGAGGCGCCCGTCCTTTCGGTACTGCTCGATGGGGAGCCACAGCAGGTCCCGGAAGCCTTGGACTGTGAGGGAGCGGCTGTCAGAGATGCTGAAGGTGCGCTGAGTCCCCAGCCCACCACGGCCACCTAAGAATTCTACTCACAGAGCTGGAGCACCGAGTGCATGGGGCCCACGCCCCCCAGCAGGCCGGGCAGCTGGTTCTTTCGGATATCCTGTAGCCATTCATTGAAGGCATAACCTATGACCTTCTCCACGCCCAGGAGCCTGCAGGGAAGGACGAGTCAGGGGAGCCCCAGACCCCCCAATCCTAGGTGGCCATTTTACAGAGGACTGAGGTCACACAGCCATGCCTGGAGCAGCACATAGGGAGGACTCGAAGCCTGGGCAGAGGCTGGGGTGCGGGGGCTGAGGGGCTCACCCATGTCGGCAGCAGAGCCGTTTCAGTTTCAGCTCAGAGCAGTTGAGCTGGGCCAGGCCGATGAGGAGGCCAGCAAACGTGCCCTGGGGAGGGAGACATGGGGCCAGGTTGGCGAGATGGGGGAACTGGACCTCCTAACCCACGGGAACCACTGTGGCAGGTTCAGTGACTAATGGGTGCCCCTGCCTGGCAGCCGCACTCACCACCTGATCCATGGTGACGTGTTTGCCGTGGTAATCCAACCAGATGGGCACCTCGGAAGTGAAGCGGAATTCCCTGGTGGGGCAGTCGGGGAGAGGGGTCCTTGTCACCTACACGGGCCCTGCTACCCGCATAGGTTCCGTGGCCACCCTCAGCTTTACCTGAAGTAGATGGACTGCTGCTCCCCATGGCCACTGTCTGTCTCCTGCATGTCAGTCGCCTCCCAGGGGCTACTGGGCCAGTCGGCCTGGGAGTGAGCTGGGGAAGGGCACAGAGCAGGGGTGGGTTGGGGCACAAGCTGGGTAGGGAGACAGAGGTCTGAGCCCTTCCCTCCCTAGCCTGGCCATTCACCCTCGGCTGAAGAAGTCTCTGCTGGGATCATGGGGTTGATGCCAGCCACTAGGCTGGTGAAGAAGTCTTTGAGGAAGAAGAGGGCGTCCTGCAGGGGAGGTTGTGGCAATGGCTCAGCCTCAGGTCCAGACATGGGGCTTCCCTCTGCTCTCCCCACATCAACCCCACTCACCTGGTCCACGTTCAGCCTCAGGGGCATCAGGGAGACTCGGAGGCAACACTCGGGGCCCATGACGTTTGAGGAGGCCAAGTGTAGCGCTTTGATGGTGAGCTGGGACAGAGGATGAGCTCTGGTGTCTGCTGGCCCTGCTCTTGTGGTGTAGACCGCCCCAGCCACCCTCCTCCCAGCTCAGGCCCAGTGTGGCCAGCAGCTGCCTGGGGTGTGTGTGTGTGTGTGTGTGTGTGTGTATGAGAGAGAGAGAGAGAGAGACAGAGAGAGACAGAGAGACGCCACGCGCCGCGTGCCCCGCCCGAGCCTGGACCCAATCACCATACCATGTTGGCGTGGGCGCGTCGAGGCATGCGCTCGCTCGTGTGTAGGTACAGGAACTTGTTGATCTGGGAGGAGGCCAGGCGGTCTCGCACCTCGAGCTCCTGCACAATGAACACTTGGCGCGACACGGGCTGGTCCTCCCACTCCATGCCATGGGCCAGGTGCACACCCGGCTGCTTCACTGGGTACACCTCATGCTGGAAGCTCACCTGGGGGCACGCAGGTCCGGGTCTTAGAGGCAAGGCCTAGGATCCTTTTCCTGTGTATGCTCCCCCACCGCTGTCTGAGGGCCCTCAGCCCCATCCACGTGATACCCCAGATGGGTGCTTCAATGACATCTCAAACGTCTCATGGACCCAAAGAAGTTGACCTCCCTCCCAGCAGGTGAGCCCAGCTGCCCCCATCTCTACCACCACCCGCTTTCTGGAAGTGACATCAGTCTATCTGCTACCTCCAAAGGTTCCAGCTTTCCCCTCAATATCTCGTTCAAATGCTGCTGATTTGGGGGAGCAAAATCAGCAGCACTTCTTCGATCTCCTCTCTCCAACTCCCTCCTGACAACCCATTGTCCACGCCCCAGGAGGCCAGCTATGGAATCTGCTCCGAAACCCCATGGCTTCTGGGAGGACCAACTCCAAACCCTAAGTGGCTCTTTGACCCTTCCTCTGTCCCTAGATCCAGATCTGCTGCCCCCATGGGCTTGATCTCCAGGCCTTTGCTCCCTCTCAGTTTGGGGACCCAAGAAGTGTGGCCGCCAGCACTGGGACAGGGGTGGCCCTCAGTAGACCGTTCCACCCGCTTCTTTGTCATATTGAATTCTGGGTTGCTTTTCCTATCCCATACACATAGAACCTGACTGTCCCCTGCTTGGCCACACCTGTTAGATCATGTCCACCCTCAGCTCCTACCTCACCTGAGCCAAAGCTAAAACAATGTTGGAGGTCTGCAGGGCCCACCCATATATGCTACACCCCTCTACCCTCTTGGCTCGATGCTGTTCCAGCCCCCAACTCTTTCTACTTCGGGAACTCTCCCTGGCTCGGGCTCTGCTTCTCGCTCAGGATTCCATGACCCTCCCCAGCTCCACTCGCTGTCCGCTTTACTTTCTCCTGCACATTTATTACCACTGGACAAACTAAATGGATCTCTTATCTCCTGTTTTTTGTTCCTTAGTTCCCTCCACTTGGACAAAACTGACTGAAAGCCAGGCTTTTTGCTATATCCATGTGGGCTTATACAATATGTGGGATTCGGGGAGTTTCTGTGCAGTGTTGAGGTGGGATGGGAGGACAGCCCGTGGCTTCCCTGCCCCAGTGTCCACGTCAGCTGACCCTGTGGTTCCTAGGACTCACCTTGCTGAGCTGGATCTCCATGAGCACATGGTGCTGCCGCCCACTGCCCCCCTGTTTGCGCCATGAGTTCTGGGGCCGATTGTGCCCGGAGCAGCGGGAGGGGGAGCTCCTGGGACCTGAGAGTTTTGCCCTAAGAAACGGACAGGAGACAAGCTGACACAGAAGCAGCCTGCTCTCCTGGCCCAGGATAGGTGAAGAAATCAGTCCAGGCCCTCATCTCTTGAGTGGCCACCTGCAAGCCCTCCTCACCTGTGGCTAGGGTGGGGGCCAAAGTCTCGGCCGCCATAGAGATGCCAGACCAGAGAGACCTCACGCAGAACCACACGGCTGTTAGGCACAGGGAAGTGAGCGGGTGCCCGCAGCAGGTCTGTGTTTCCCAATGGCCGGGAGAAGTACCCATCCTGCACCACAATGGGGCCTGGGAGCAGCTGCGTCACCACGGGCTCCCCGTCTCGGGGCTGCAGGGAGACGGAGAGTAAGTGAGCTGTCTGCCCTAAACCTAACCTGGCTCTGCCTGCTGTTCCCCCCCCACCCCCCATTGTCACCTCATCATTCCAGTTTCAGCCACAAGGTGACACTCGGGGTTGAGTGGTCTTGTAGGACCTCTGTGCCTGGCCCATGGACCTACCACACACCCCTACACTGGTACCTGGTTTTGGTGGCCAGCAGCCCTTACCTGCCCCACACCCGTCCACCCTCTCCTCCCTCCTCAGAAATCTACTCTCCAAGCCCCACAGTGGACCAGCACTGCGCCACCAGGTAATGGTGAGAGTCGGTGGCCTGGCCTGCCATCTCAGCCCCGCCCGCTGCACATACCGGGATGCCCAGGCCGGGAGCGTCCAGGATGCAGAACTCATCACTGTCCAGAGTATCTCCTTCCGTCTCCTCTTCCTGGTCCTCTTCCCGGTCCTCTTCCCGGTCTTCTGACCTGATGCTGTCAGCGGGGGTCCCAGCAGGTGGAGGAGGATGCTGGGCACTGCTCCGCTCACCTGGGAACAGGTAAAGGGACACGGGCGACACCTGGTAGATTGGGCCACCTGTGGGAGAGAGGCCAGTGTTGCAGGAGTTCAGGCGCATTGTCTGCCTTTGTCCGCTGGTGCCCAGGCCCCGGCTGCCCACCTGATGGCTGGGCTAGCTCCTGTAGGCTACGTCCTGAGTCCATGAGGGCATCGGTCAGGTCTCGCTGGTTGATGAGAGCAGCCTCCAGAGGCGGAGGGCAGGAAGGCAGAGAGGCCGGGCTCTCAGAGAGCTGGGCCGGTGGGGAGGAGGGAGCCAGCGGTGAGTAGCCCGGAGCTGGGACAGCCCCCGGGGCCCTCCCAACCCCAGGCCTTGGGGCCCGTGGCAGGGAAGGGGACCTGGCCGTGCTCCGGTAGCCTGTGTGGCCAGGCCTCACCTGAACCTTCTGGCCGGCGATCTCCGTGGGGCTGGGGGGCCGGGGTGGGGGATGCAGGTCACCTGCGCTCATTACGTACTGCAGCAGGTTGACCAGCAAGGCACAGGAGTCGGCACAGCTGTGCATGTGAACCACGTTGTTGGAGCAGCGCAGCTCAAACAGCGGCTGGCTCTGCGGTAGGCATGGTGGTGGGTGTCAGGATAGGCCCAGCTCAGCTGGGCTCCTTCTCTGCAGGGGAGCCTGCTCATCCCGACCAACACCCCCACTGAGCAAGGGGAGGCTGGGAGAGTACCAGGGATGCGGCCCGGGGCCCCCTGACGAAGGGCCCCTAGGAGGGGAGCTTCCTCCCCATTTCACAGACGACGACACTGGGTCTTCTCTTGGGGCCCTGCTTTTTCTCCCTGGCTGCAGCTGCCCTCCCAGCCATTCATTCATTCGGCAACCTCACAGGGACATACTTGGTGGACCTGGACGTCTCAGGAGATACGAACCAAAGCCCAGGAAGGAGCAGGCACGTGGGGAAGGGGTGACCCTGAATGTCCCTCTCCAGCTCTGAGGGACCGGGGTCAGGCTGCACTCACCAGTTTGTCCTCGGTGCTACCCTTCCAAGTTTTGATGACAAGCTCCAGGAGGTCAACATCCAAGACGCAGACATAATCTGGAGAAGGCAGGAGAACGTTCCTGATCCCTGTGCCCACTGTCACAGGGAGAGTCCTGGGGCTTAGCTGGGCAGAACTCTTGGGTGTATGCCCCTGTGGGTGGGTGCTAAGTGTCTGGCCAGTTGCTAAGGGCAGCTGGCTGCTCTGGTGTCACAGGGTCCCTGCAGAGGGGAGGGAGTCCAGATTGGGCCCTGCCCACCTCGCCGTAGATCCAGGGTCTCCACCTCACACTTGTCGGACAGGTACAAGGCAGAGTCATCAAGGATAAACCTGGTAAGGAACAGGGATGAGAAGGACCTGGAGCCGCAGGATGCTGGGGCACCCAGAGCTGACAAGGGACCCAGGAGAAACTGTGCAATGGGGTCTTCTTGGGCCTCAGTGTTCTCATCTGTATAACAGGGGAAATGGGTATCCCATTATCCCAAGACACAGGCCCGTAGAGTTAAGTGCACGTTGGCTTGGCCTAATACTTCCGAAGTACTTCCAGCTCTACTACCATCTCATTTGTTGCTCACGATAGCCCTAAGAGGGATTTTAAACAAGTTCTTACTTTAACAATTTGTGACACCCGCTCTTTTAAGATATTTTAGAAATAGTAATAGAATTACAGTCAATCACAAAAGGACAAATATTATGTGAGATCACTGTTATAAAAAGAGAAGCTTTTCTTGATAAAAAAAAAAAAAAAAACATCTGATGATGGTTGCCATGGGTGGGAGAATTTGGGGTCCTTGCGAGGTAGCCATAGTAAATGCTGCTAAGAGGTGTCTGTCATTCTACTTCCGAAAACCCTATGGAACACAATCCTATTCTTACACACATGGGGTCACCATGAGTTGGAGTTCAACTTGATGGCACCCTGCAAGGACCCCAAAGTTCTCCTACAGAGACACGATATCCTGTCGCTCTCATCCTGTGTCCTTAAGAGAGCCCCAAGAAGCAAGCTGACAGGTCAGTTTCTTGTTCAAGTTCCCAGCGAGGGGCTATCACACACACGCTCGCTACCTGAGCAGGAAGGTAGACGTGTCCATAATGATGTTGCTAGAGAGAGTGAAGGTCTCAGCGGTGATCAGGACGCGCACGGGGAGGTAGAGCGGCCTGGCAGGAGCAGGGCAACGTTCACACTTGGGCAGGGGGGCGGGCTCCTTACCTGTCCCCAGCCCCTAGCCTGCCCAGCATACATACCTGTAGTCCACAGCACAGGAGAGCAGGTGTGTGTGCAAGACCGTGATGACCGTCGGGGGCAGGTAACCCAGCACGGGCTCATCGAGCACGTCTAGGAACTCTAACAGCTTTGTGCGCCAGGGCAGGAGTGGACAGTGGGAGGAGACATTAAGTAGCCTCTTTCCCTTCTAACAGCTGCCCGCCCTGGCTCAGCCCCTGCCCCACACCACCATGCTCACCTGGGCATGCCAGCTCTGCTCAGGGAGGGCCATGCAGTGACGCAAGGTGGCTTTGTGTAATCGCACGGTCACCAGGAACTCCTGGTGGGCGGGCAGAAGGATGCAGTCAGGGTGGTGGGCACTGGAGACACAGGCCGCCATGATCCAGGGTAGACAGTGAGCAGGGCCAGCTATACCTTGACATTCTTGTGGGGATCCAGGTGGATGCGCACCACAGTGGTCAGCATGTGAGGTCCCTGTCCCTTGCGGTCCGAGGCACCCTGTTCAGCCACCCCTTCCTCCGAGGGGTAGATGGTTGGGGCCAGCTGGGACGGACACGTGAAGGTAGGCAGCTCTAGGCGGCTCGGCAGTATGTAGTCATCCACAACCGCTGGGGGGGAGCGAGCTGAACGTCTACCAGCCAGGGCTACCTCCCTCCCTGGCCAAGGACCCTCAGCTCCCTGCCCTCATACCTCGGTGATAGAGCTTGGCTGTTGCGGCTTCCAGGCAGAAGTAGCCAAGTCCCGGCTGGCCGCGGTACTGGGGCACACTGAAGAGGGTGCTCTGCTCCACGTCGAGTACCAACTCCCCGTGCACGGCCTCCAGCCGCTGCCCACACTCATCCTGCAGACAGAGCACCAGGCCTGACCTGCTGGCTCAACAGCTAGCAGACCCTCAGGGGGCAGGAACTTCATGGAGTCCAATTGTGCTAGACTAACCAGGGTCAGCTCCAGCAGCGATCAGACTCCATGGGGGGCCCGGGCAGCACGTACCTCCTGGGGACCCAAGGACACTCACTGGGCCCCCAGAGCTAGCACAGTGCTGACACTTGGAGGTGCTGAGAAGTGGATCATAGATGGAACGCGGAAGGAGGGTGGAAGGGTCAGTGCGGCTACCTTCCCACAGGGAGGCAGACCCAGGGTCCTGGCCAGTGTGCTCACCTTGCTGTCACAGAGAGCAGTCACCCGGCCCTTTAGCACCGTCACCAGAGTGGAGAAGGTGCTCTGGGACTGTGGCCTTGGGGGTTTGGGAGTAGGGGTGTGGGAGGCGCCTGGTACTCCCACTGAGAAGAAGTGGGCATCTTCGTCTTCTGAGTCGGAGTCTGGGGGAGATGATAAAGATAAAGGCAGTTAAGTAGAGTGGGAAGGAGATCTGGTCCCCAGCCCCTCCAAAGCAAGCCCATACCCAGCTTGAAGGCTGATTTGCACATCCTGAAGGGGCCGGGGAAGCCAGGGGGGCAGGCAGTGGGGCCGGGCGTGGGGAGCAGGTCGGCGGGTTCCCACATGAGCAGGTCGTTGTTGATCCTGAGGTGGGGGGACAGACAGGTGAGGGAGGACAGGGACTGGCCTCTCAACCCCACTACGTGGCCAGCTGTCCTCACCTGTTGTAGATACTCTCATAGACCTCCTTGCTGGGCAAAAAGATGTGAGCGCTAGGCAGGATCACTTCCAGGCTGCAATTAGACAGCGCCAGGGTCTGGCTCTGGAAATTCCTCATCTCCTCAGGGTCTCCAGGAATCACCATCTAGTCAGGGGACCGGGGGGCAGAAGCTCAGTGAGTGGCGCCGAGTGAGCCCTGGCCTCTGGAATCAGAAAGGCCTGGCTTTGCATCTTGACCCCTTCGTTGGGGACTCAACCCAGCTCTCTCACTTCACTCCAAGGGAGTGAAGTTCACTCCCCATTTCATCTTCACGACAGCTCTCATTACACCCAAGTTTCAGATGAAGAAACTGAGCTCTGAGTAGTTAGCTAAGGCCCCGGATGACACCGTTACAGCTGGGCCTCTCATACAATCCGAACCACTGTGGGAGAAGAGGGTCCTGAGGTCCAACTGTTTAACACTCACAGAGGGTGCAGGTGGGACGGGGGGGAGTCCTCACCAGGGCGTCTGACCCAGAATGCCATTCTGCCCCACCCACAGCAGGCAGCCTCACCTCCTCGGTCTCATACATGGTCCTCTTGGAGGAGAAGGGTGAGGGCTCCGGCTCCTGCAACTCACACGGGTTCTCGGACGACGAGACCTCCAGCTCCTCCTTGTCCAGCCCCGCCTCCCATGGCATGTTGCTATGCTTTGGGTTCAGCGTCACCACGACCCTGCCAGTCACGGGCCTGTCAGCGTCCTGCAGAGCCTCCCGCCACCCTCTGCTGCCCGCATCTCTGGGAGCAGCCACTTACTGTGGCAGGAAGTACTTGTGGAGGCCTCTGTTGTTCAGGATTTTGGAGACTCGCAGGCAGGGAACAGGTGGCTTCTCTCCATCTTCGTAGGTGCCTGAAAAGACCGTGGAGAGTGGTCACTGCTGTCACGGAGCCCTGCTCTCCCTCCACTCAGGGTCAGTATAAACCAGGGACAAAGGAATAAGCTGCCCCACTGCCCAGGCCAGGGCAAGGTGAGGCTGCTGTCCAGAGTTGAGGAGGACCCAGGACCCCTAAGGGTGCCTCTTACCATGCAGGTCAGAACAGGTGAGCTCCAGGCGGATGGGGACAGGAGGGCCAGGTCCACTGCTCAGCTCTGTCCGGAACTGGGGCTCACTCAGCTCCAGCCGCAATTGCTCTGCCCGAACGGCCTGTCCAGCCCAGGGGTCCCGCTGCGGACGCAAGTCAGCGATTGGGAAGCGCAGTCGCAGTGTGGCCTTTGGTGCGGAGAGCCATACCACCGTCTGTTGCTCAGCTGTGGGTGGGGACTCTGTCTGTGGGAGGGGGCGGATGAGATCAGAGTGGCCCCCACCACTGTGGTCAAGAGCCAGATGACCAGTGCCCTCCCCGCGCTGCCAGGTGTCTCACCATCAGGCCGGTGGGCGGTTTGGGGGATGGCTCGTGGGGCATGGTGGCCAGGCGGAGTAGGGCAGTGAGCCGGTCCAGGGCCCCAAGCTCTAGGTCTGCCTGGAAGTCAGCCAGTTCCAGGGCCAACTCTGAGCGGCAGTGGCAGGCGGCCTGTCGCCGGGATCGGCTCTGAAGCGAGGGTGCTGGGGTCAGCGAGGACAGAGGTGTGGGAGTGTGGGTAGAGTACCAGAGCCCTCTGGGGTGGCAGGGAGAAGAGGGACCCAGGAAGGGGCTGAGAGACCATCAGAACCCAGTCTGAAGCAGACAAGCATGTTGCCTTGTTTATGGCAAGTCACCCAGAGGCCCAGACAGGGGAGGGGGCAGCTGGACGAGGACCACTTGGGGGAAGTCTGGGTAGGGGGACAGGGCTGTCACCTTGGATATCCGGCGCAGGGTCTGTGTGTGACGTAGGCGGGCACAGGGCTGAGAGGAGGCCTGGGAACCCAGGCTGCAGGGGAAGCTCAGGACCTAAATTGGGACAAGGAGCTGAGCAAGGTCCTGGTCCTGCCCCACCTCCCACCTGCCCGGCCCTCACCTCTGTGTACTCAGGCTCCGAGGCGCCCCTGGGCCACAGGCTCTCTAGCACCTCGAGCTGCCCAAAGCACACTTCCATGTTGGTGGTCCGATGGCTCTTGGCGCCTGTCCGAAGCTCCCAGGTCACCTGCATTGCCGTGCTGGTGAACCTGATGGGTAGAAGACCTCCATCAGCGGGTACGCTTGGGGGGGTTGGGGAGCTGGGTTGCGTTTCCTCAGACCCTGGTCTCGGGCTTGTACCTAACATGGCTACAGGGACAGGCCTTCTGGAAGCGTGGCCGGAGGAGATGGAAGTCGCGGGCGCCAAAGGACCCATCCTTGGTGGCAGCAAACTCGGCAAAAAAACGGGTGATGAGGTCTGGTGGGCTGGCATCCGGGGCAGACGTCTGCAGCAAGGTCAGTGTCATGGCCCCTAGGGTCATCTTCACCAGCGAGTCAGGACGCAGAGTGTCAGTGAGGGGCGTGGGAGGCGCCTTGCCTGAGGGGACAAAGGCTTCACCAGGGGCTCCCAGAGCTCAGAGACACCCCAGGTAGGGAGACAGTCAGGCTAGGGGCTTGGTCAGATGGGGTTGCTGGTAATCACAGAGTACGTAATTGGCCCCCAAGCACTCTGGGGCTCTACCCAGTGTTGTCTCTCCAGCCTTTCCTGCCCTGGCCCCCTCATCTGCCTGCCCCAGGGGCCCGACTCACCAGCTAGGTGGGTCTGTGAGAGGCGGCGGGGGGCTGCGTTACTGTGCAGAGAGGAGCTCAGATCCACGTCAGACAGCTCAGAGAGGACAGAGGTCACGCTGCTCGTCAGACCCGCCATGGAGAAGAAGAGGTCTGCGGCCAAGGCCAGGGGAGTCAGGGCACTTGGTGGCCTTGGTGCTGCCTGCCCGCCCACCTCAGCACTTCGCACCTACCTGTGCTGTCTGTGCTGCCAAGGGGATCTGGGCTGGGGGGCTCGGCCCCAGCCCCTGCATGTAGCTGCTGGTTTAGGTCCTGCTCGATCAGCCACAGGTCCTCAACACCCAGTGGGCGGCTCTTGTTCAGCTTGTCAACTAGGCTCTTGGGGTCTATGGGAAGACTTTAGTCCAGTTGGCCAGCACCCCGCCCCCAGCCTAACCAGTCCCATTCCTGGGGGAGCCCAGCCAGAAGCCTCACCTTCGAGATTGATGGAGGCTAACAGATCTAGGAGTTGATATAGCTGCTGTGGGGACAGGAGTAGGTGTAGGGAGCTCAGCTGTCCGGCTACCTCCAGCTGGGGACACAGGACAGCAATGGAGCATGCACAGGCCTGCTGGGCCCTCTGCAAGCCACCACCACCTGCTCGTCCCCACCAGCCTGGGGCAGATCAGCACTGCCGAGGGTGTGCCTCACACGGGGACCTACCTTGGGGCCTGGAAAGGCCTCATTCTGCTTCAACTTCACTGTCAGCTCTATGTACCCTGAGCAGGTGCCAATTTGCAAAAGGGGCTGTGGGGATGCTTCCTGGGTGGCAAGAGGACATGGGAGGGGGTCAAAGGCGGGAGGGATTGAGAGAAGCAGAGGACTATGGGAACAGGCAAGTCCACAGCCCAGCAATCAGGCTCCCACCTGTTGGGGGAGCTCCTCCAGGTGTAGGCGGACCCCTGTCAGCAGCAGCAACTTGTGAAGGAAGGTGGGGGGCTGGTGCACTTCCCCTGGAGGTGCCTGGTTGGGGTCCCACTCCGTCTCGTCACAGTACTCCATCCTGGAGAGGGAGGCTCAGCTCTTGGCCTGTTCTGTCTGGGGCCTTGGATCAGAGTGCCCGCAGGGCCTGCCCCTTACACCTGGCTGTCCTAGGCACTCCCGCCCACCCCTGCTTCTCTGACCCCCTGGAGGCCCACACACTCACACCCTCTGGGAGCTCCACCCAGACCTGCCCTCCACTTCCCAGGACCAAGGGCGGGAGTGGTGGGCGGGGCAGGCCCACCTCTGCGTGTGGATTTCCAGTGCTACACCACGCTCCAGATCCCCATGCTCCACCCGTACAATGCTGTCCACGATGACCACCTTGATCCTCTGCAGAACTGGAAGTAGGGCTCAGGGTCAGTGGGGTGGACACTCTGGGCTCCTGGGCTGTGTGGGGTGGGGGCAGGGCCACTCACCAGAGTCCAGGGTCTGGATGAACACCTCCAGCCCATCCAGGGGCTGGGCTGGTTCATCCTGCAGGCACTCCTGGGCCAGCTGTTGGCTTGTGCTCATGCCAGACATAAAGTTCTGTGAGTCGGCTGTCCCTGGGGCTGTGGGTGGAATAGGGGCTCAGGGCAGGTTCAGAGGTAGGTCGCCAGGGCCCAGTCCCCTCCCTGTCCCCACTACCCTGTCCTTCCATCCTGACCTGGGCTCTGCTTGGGCTGTAGGACGAGCTGCAGGCCAGACACACATATGGTGGAGTGGTCAGTGAGCAGGTTGGACCAGGGCACCGACACTTCGATGGAGCTTGCAAAACCTTCCACCACCTCCAACGGTAACTCCAATGGCTCCAGCTTCTTGTTCACAAACTGAGCAGGCGGGGCAGAGCTGGCTCAGAGGAGCCCCCAAATTGGCTGTCTCCATGGTTCCCCTGCCACCCACAGGGTCCTGCTTTTACCCATGCTGACCCCTCAAACCAGCTCATGGGTTTCCTCTCTATTCATTTCAGAAATACTGAGCATCCTTCTATGTGCTGGATGCAGAGGGACATGAATGTATCAAATATCTGCCTTTCTCACCACCCCTCCCCAGAAAGGGTACTCCTGAGGCTGTGGGAGCGGTAACCCAGTCTGGATGGTCAGAGAGGTTGATGTGAAGGATGAAGAGGCAGCAGCCAGGCAGGGGCTGGAGGTGGGATATTTCTGGCCTTGCAGAGAACAAGCAGTGTGTCCCCCCCCCCATCAATCTGGGCTGGGGGCGGAGCTAAGGGGGCAGGCAGGGGCTGACATGGTGGGCACATGGTTGAGCCTCTCCTCAATGTGCTTGCAGAGGCACTGTGGGATATCACCAGAGGGTACCTGCTTGAAGCCCTCAATAAACACCTGCAGGGGAAGACGTCCCATTGGGATCAATTCCAAATTTCTCACCCACAGATCCAGACTGGGAAACTGAGGCCTAAATAGGGAAGGCATTAGTCTGGTCTCCGGTGTACTGAGAGGACTGAGACAGGGACCCAAGCTTTCTCCTCATCTCCCAGTTTCCCCAGACACTTGTTTCTTATAGGGTTGAAAAAGTGAGGTCTGCAGGTCAGTGTGTTGGAGGCAGAGACTGGTTACCAAGTCAGTGCAGTATTTCACTGGGCCCAGTTCTTCCCTGAAATAGCTAGGGGCCAACTGGGCAGGGCAGAACAGTGGTGGAATGTTTTCCCACCAGTAGAAAGTGGTGGCCCATAAGTCTTGCAGGCCAGTCTGATGAGCCCGCCTGCCCTGGAATTCACAGCTAAGAGCAGCACCCAACTTGGGGTTCCTACATCCCAAAGGCCAGTTCCCTCCTACCCAAAATCATAGGCCGGCTCATGTCTGGCCACTATGTAACCCCCTCCTGAGGCCAGAATGTGAAGCTGGTGACCCCAAGCCCACCCGAGCTGCCCTGACAAGGAGAGTTCACTCACTGGCAGCCCTGAGCTGGGACCTCTAATTGGTGGCTCCTTTGCAGCTCCTCGGGTCAGTTGAGTTGTGTGACTCATGACCCCTCACCGCCCCCAGCCTCAGATCTCTGACCCAGACTTAAGCCTCCATGTTTCCCAGGGCCTTCCCTAGACTTGACTCCAGGCCTCCCAGCTTCCTGAGGGCTCCCCTCCAGGCTTGGACGCTGTCCTCCAAACCCCTCCCTCAACATATCTGTCCGTCCCACTCTCCAGAAGCAGGAAGCTGACTGCTCAGGAGTCACACGAGGTGTTGATCAACACAGCTGACGCGCTTGTTGACATCCACATCCGGAGGGAACCCCACCCCCGGGCCAGGATCCTGAGGTCAGGAGGTCAGGGTACCTTCTCCACAGGTGATCTTCCCAGGCTCCAGACCCCCGCCAACCTGCCCCAACTCAGTCACCGTCAGACTTCCTGAAGTCCCTCCTTGCCACCATGCTCAATTCAGCCCTGAAACTCTCCAGACAAGTGACAGCTCCCTCTCCAACCTCAGAGACTCCTCCGGTGAAGCCTGCCTAGCTCTCTGGGAAAGACCCGGGAGGCCAACCGAGGTCCCTGACACCTGGAAAGGACGGACTCCCTGGCCTCGGGTGTCCGGAGCCTGGCCAACCCCTGTCGCCAGGGGCCTCAGGTCGCTGTGACCCCGCTCCCTGTGCCTTCCTAGGCTGGGGCTTGGCTCCTCACCCAGGCATCCAGGTGGATGTTCCGCAGCTGCACGCAGCCCTTAACCAGATCGATGCTCAGCTGATCCAGACTGAGGGTCTCCTGGAAATAGTGACCCAAGTACTGATGCAGCAGGTAGCGGCAGATCCGCTGTTTGATATTGTTCGTCCACTCCCATCGTGACATCTTGAAGACCGCCGAGCACCGGCCGCCTTCGCTCGCCGCTCGGCCGCACTCCTCGTCCGGCTGCGCTGTTCACTAGAGCCCCCGGCTCGCCCGCCGCTTCTATCAGCGCCAGGCCGCGCCCCCGGACGCCCAGTCACGCCCCCACGCTCACTGTCATTGGCCATTGCAAAGGGCGAGGCCTAGTGATTGGCTGTGGGGCGGAGCCTTGGAGCGCGAAAAAGGAACTGGGCTCTCCGCAAGATAAAGTGCTTCCAATCAGGATTTACGCTTGCGTAAAAATACGGTGTGGGAGGACCTTTAACCTCGGTCTACATACTCTCCAAAGGCTGTAGTTAGGTGCCAGTCCTGCAAAGGAATGCGCATGTGCTGACTCGTCCAACTCCTTTAGGTTGTTGGAGAGAATTTAAAGGGGCAGTGTTTCTATCAAACTTCGTAGAACGTTTCCAAAAACCAGGTATGAGTCCCGCAACGGTGGAAACCATTAAGCCAATAAACAATTGCATCTTACAGAACTCCTTGTTGTTCTTAGTTCCGTTCGTAGAGTCGACTCCGACTCTCATAACGACCCACTGTAGGGTTTCCGAGGAGCCGCTAGTAGGTTTTGAACTGCCGACCTTGTGGTTCTGTCCTGATCCTACCAAAGCCACACCAGGAGTCCAAACACATTATTGTTGTGAAGTGCCATCAAGTCTATGCTGACCCATAGCGACCCTGTAAAGGGGTTTCCGAGGAGTGGCTGGTGAGCTCGAACCACCGACCTTGCAGTTCAAACGGTTTTGCAGTCTGGCGCATTAACCCACAGCGCCACACCAGGACTCCCCAAACACTTTGTTGTTGTTAAGTACCGTGGAGTCGGTTCCTACTTATAGTGACCCTGTACAGGGTTCCCGAGGCTGCAAATCTTTACAGGAGCAGAAAGCCTCATCTTTCTCCCCAAACACCTTCCCATCCTTTAAATTCATCATTCAGTCAGTCCTCTCAGCACCCCGCTAGGGAGGGGCTCATTGCCACCAGATTAGAAACAGGTTAGAAATGAGACGATCACCTAGGAGGTCTTAGGTCCACTCCCAGCTGCGGAATCTCATCGGGAGATTAACTGACCCTCCCTTCTCTGCGCACTTGGTCCCGCCTGCCCCTCCCCCCCCCCACTCTGGAATAATAATACCAGCTTTTCATATCTCTAAATCCTAAAATCAATAAGAATGAGCTCCAATTCCCTGGAGCAAGGGGCTATTGTTGCTGCACAGTCCTTGAGTTAAGAATGGAGTTCACATTTTGAAAGAAAGAAGCAGAATATTTCTTGACATTTAAAAAAATCCTATGCCATTCAAATGTCAGTGTCCATAAATAAAGTTTTGATGGAACTCAGCCACATTAATTTGTAGTAAGTTTTGTCTAGGGTGGTTTTCTTGGTATTGGGCAAAATGGAATATTTGAGACACAGACCCCACAAAGCCTAAAATATTTAGTTCTGGCCCTTACCAGACTATATTTGCTGCCTCCTGCTCGACCACACCAGCTGCACAAAGTCCTGCTCTTCATGGGTGATTTGTGGAAGATACCAGGCTAACTGATTTTATTTTAACCATCGATTTGATCTGGACTCGAGTTCCAGCTCTGGGTGGCCCTGGGCATGCCACCGCATCTCCATGAGCCTCACTGTTACCCCTTGGAGTTGCAGGAGTAAGCAGGGCAGCATCTAAGGCAGGGCTTCCTATTGTTGGTTGTTAAATGCCACCCTTGAGTCGGTTCCAATTTACAGTGACCCTGTATAGGGTTTCCAAGGAGTACCTGGTGAATTTGAACCACTGACCTTGAGGTTCAAACTGGGCCTTGCAGTCCAGTGCTTTAGCCCACAATGCCACACCAGGACTCCAATGTAAGGGTGGTGGTCGTGGTTATGTGCTGTGGAGTTGGTTCCGACTCATAGCGACCCTGTACAGGGTTTCCAAGGCTGTAAATCTTTACAGGAGCAGAAAGCCTCATCTTTCTCCTGCGGAACAGCTGGTAGTTTCAAACTGTTGACCTTGCGGTTCATAGCCAAATTCATAACCACTACGCTACCAGATCTCCTTAAGGAAAGGGTGGGGAACCTTTTTTCTGCCAAAATTTATAACATCATTCGGGGGCCATACAAAATTATCAGCTTAAAAATTAGCATACTATCTTTGTTCAAACATTTAGTTAATCCCTAATTTAATCTGCTGGACTGAATGGTTGTTTTGAACTTCAAGATACATGATTTAAGCTCACCAGCTGCTCCTCCAAACACATATACAGGGTTGCTATGAGTCAGAATGGACTCCACAGCACTTAACAACCACAACAATGGAGTCCTGGTGTGGAACTGTGGGTTAATGCAAAGTCGGTTTGAACTTGCAGGGTATTCAAGGTCGGTATGATGGCTTTTACATTGTTGTTGTTAAGTGCCCTACAGTCTGTCTGACCCATAGCAGCCCTGTATAGGGTTTCCAAGGAGGAGTAGTGAGTTAATTTAATGTTTGACCAAGTATTGTTGTTGTTGTTAAGTGCCGTCGAGTCAGTTCCGACCCATAACGACCCTGTAAAGGGTTTCCAAGGCTGTAAATCTTTACGGGAGCAGAAAGCTTCATCTTTCTCCCACGGAGTGGCTGGTAGTTTCGAACTGCTGACCTTGTGGTTCACAGCCCGATTCGTAACCACTACGCTACCAGAGCTCCTTTAGCAGACTAATTTTTAAGTTGATCATTTTGAATGTTTCGGCTGGAGTCCTGGTGTGGTGCCGTGATGTAATGCACTGGACCATAAGGTCGGTCTGAGTCTCAAGGTCGGCGGTTCACATTCCCCAGCCGCTCCTTGGAAATCCTATACTGGGTCGCTACCAACTCGAGTCGGAACCAACTCAATGGCACTTAACAACAGCAATGTGATGGCTGCAACTGCGCTTGCTGTGGCAAAGCCAGAGCAAATGATTTTGTGGGTCAGACATTCCACACTCCTGCCGTGTCGCAAAACACTGGGAAGCCCCATGAACGTATCATGACCACTCCGAAAATGCTTGTGGAACAAATCCAGCATCTCTCTGTTCTCAAGACAAGTTGGGGGCAGTGTGTCCATCAAATTCCTCTGAAATTAATAATATAAAAATTATCAACACCATGAATTGAGCATGTGTGATGCTCAGGCCCAAGGGCCGGCCACTTCACTTGTGTTGTCGCTATGCTCCTGACCAGAGGCACTATTAATATCTCCATTTTATGGAAGAGGAAATGGAAGTCCACGTGTCCAAATGCCTGTGGAGCAAGTGAATGAAGCAGCACTTTTTCTCCTTGCTTCCTTCCGGAGAAAGACAGTAGGAACAAAAGTATGTATTCTTTGGGGGGGTCCTCATGTGCAATCTAGGAGGGGTTGAGCATTCCCTGTGGTGAGAATGGTGTACTAGTGGAAAAACAGGGCCTGGGCTGGGTCCACTACACAGGCCCCCAATACTCTCTCAGTGAGGCAGACTACAGGGTCAGGCTACACTCATACCCACCCCTCCTTATAACTTGATGATTGGTGGGTACATCGGTCTCTTAGGAATTGGTGCCTGTGAGTTCACTTCTGACCTCAAATTTCTCTATCGATAGGGGGCAGTGTATGAGCCAAAGCAAAGGTTACATTAGAGCTGGGTTGGGGCCCCAGGGTTCTGCCTTTTCCAGACAATTCCTCCAACACAAAGTGCACAGATAGCAAACTCCAAAGACAAAGCCATCCCCAGCCTAACTCCTGGCTCAGGGTAGGAGCAGAATGAAAGCAGAAAAAATACTGGCAGGGATAGGAGGATGAGATTGTCTTATGAAGGAAGGAGGTGTTGAAGACTTCACAGAGATGTTTCTGGGATTAAGTCTCAGGTCCCACTTTGTACCCACACGGCTCAGCTCTGCGTCCAGCAACTCTGACAAAGACTCTGGTACTGTACTCCCTGTTGACGGCTGCTATCAACCGCCCCAGCTCATGGAAACTTCACAAAGCACTGAAGGAAACTGCCCGGTTCTGTGCGCCCCGCCTTATGTGGTCCATAGGGTGTTCACTGGCTGATTTTCAGTAGAATGCCAAGCTTTTCCTCCTAGCACATCTGGAACTTCTGCTGAGACCTGTTCAGTGTCAGAACAACATGCAAGCCTCCACTGAGAGACAGGTGGAAACTGCAGTTGAGCTATCTTGGCAGAAATAGAACCAGGGACTGTCACGTGTTGTTAGGTGCCGTTGAGTCGTTCCAACTCATAGCGACCCAATGCACAATAGAATGAAATGCTGCCCGGTCCTGCAGAATCCTCACAGTTGTTGTTACACTTGAGCCCATCGCTGCTGCCACTGTGCCAATCCATCTCGTTGGGAGTCTTCCTCTTTTTCTCTGACCCTCTATTTTGCCAAGCATGATGTTCTCTGGGGACTGGTCTCGCCTGATGATATCTAGTATGAGAGATGAAGTTTCATCATCCTGGCTTCTAAAGGGGCATTCTGACAACTTCTTCCAACACAAATCTGTTTGTTCTTGCAGTCCATGGTACTTTTAATATTCTCCAAAACCATAACTCAAATGCACCAATTATTTTATTGTCTTCCTTATTCATTGTCCCCCAATTGTCACATGCCTATGAAGCCATCAAAAATACAAAAATACCGTGGCTTGGTCAGGCACACCTTAGTCCTCAAACTGTTGTCTTTGCTCTTTTCCCACATTGGTGGTGTTAAGTGCTGTTGAGTCAGTTCCGACTCATAGGGACCCTGTACAGGGTTTCCTAGGAGCAGCTGGTGGGTTTGAACTACTGACCTTGTGGTTCACAGTCCAGTGCCACACCAGGAAGGAATCTTCCCACATGGAAGAAGGGAATTCTACCAATGAAGCCCTACTGTTGGGTCCTGAGATGATTTAGAGGTCTGGCTAGGGTGGGGGGTCAAGATTCTTGAAGTCAGGAGGAAGAGAGAGTGCCACACTGTGCCCTGAGGGTGAGTTTCTTAGTGGATGCCCCCCACCTCCTTTGTTGTTGTTAAGTGCTGTCTGAGTCAGTTTCAACCCATAGGGACCCTGTAGAGAGTTTCCAAGGAGTGGCTGGTGGATTTGAATCACTGACCTTGTGGTTAACAGTCCAGTGTTTATTCTACAGTGCTACACAGGACTTCCCCTCTCCTTTAGATTAGGTGGAAGGTCTTCAGGCGAAGGAGACTTCTCCAGGCCTCAGGTGATCTTAGGAAGGCTCTCCCTGTCCTCAGGGAGGTGCGTCCAGAAACAACGGCCATCAAGGTTGTCCTTGGAGGGATTTGGATGGGTGTGGAAGGGAACAAGGAAGGTGACCTGGGGGTGATAAGGGGACCTGCCCAAGCAGAGCTCCCAGGTGGGGGGATCTCTTCCCGGAGATGACCCTCAAGCTGGGGGAAGGATGACAAGAACCAGGGCATTCAGGCTGAAGGAGAACCCCCCCCCCCATGTCCAGACACTCTTAATTGTCCCTGAGTTAGAAATTTTATCTGAGACTATGCAGGAGCCGTGGACTTCATTCTTCTTGGATCAACTAACAACACTCAAGGAAGCAGCAGTCAGGAAATCAAATGATGTATTGCATTAGGCAAATCTGCTGCACGGGACCTTTTAAAAGTGTTGAAGAGCAAAGATGTCAGCTTGAGGACTAAGGTGCGCCTGGCCCAAGTCATGGTATTTTCAATAACCTCATACGCATGTGAAAGCTGGACAGTAAATAAGGAAGACCGTAGAAGAATTGATGCTTTTGAGTTATGGTGTTGGAGGAGACTATTCAAAGTGCCATGGGCTGCCAAAAGAACCAACAGATCTGTGTTGGAATAAGTACAGCCTTGGAGGCCAGAATGCCCAAACTTCATCTCTCATACTTCAGACATATCGTCAGGAGGGACCACTCACTCCTGACCAGAAGGATACCATGTTTGGTAAGGTGGAGGGTCAGAGAAAAAGAGGAAGACCCCCAGGGAGATGGATTGGCAAAGTGGCAGCATCAATGGGCTCAAGCGTGGCAACGATAATGAGGTTGGCCCAGGATTGGGCAGTGTTTCATTCTGCTGTGCGTAAGGTCGCTATGAGTCGGTACCGACTCGATGGCACCTAACAACAATAACAAATGCAGGAGCTCTGGTAGCATGGTGGTTACCAGTCAGGCTGCTAACCTCAAGGTCAGCAGTTCGAAACTACTAGCAGTTCCGTGGGAGAAAGATGAGGCTTTCTGTTCCCATAAAGATTTATAGCCTCAGATACAGGTCGCTGTGTCGGAACCGATTCCACAGCACATCAACACCACCACCACAGCTGTACGATCAGTACACAAGGTTGGTGGTTCAAACCCACTAGCTGCTCCTTGGAAACCCTATACAGGGTCACTATGAGTCAGAACTGAGTCAACAGCACTGAACAACAACAGCAATACTGAAAACCATTGAAGCATTGAAGTGCACACTTTAAGTGGGTGAATTTTCTGATATATGTGTTATCGCTCAAAAAAAAAAAAAAAAAAACACCCACCAAACAAAACAGCAGTTCCGACAAAGACACGGGTACTGTACTTAACATGTTGACAACTGCTGTCAACTGCCCCAAACCACATCCATCAGGTTGAATCCAAACCCTAGCAACCACACAGGACAGATTAGAACTGCTCCTCTCCTTAAAATTTCTGAGACAAAATATTTTTTATTTACTTTTTATCATCAGTTTAACATTCAACAAATAATATACTTCATTTCCGTAGTGTGATTGCATCAGTGCACGGAGTATTTACCTCCATACACTTTAACTCTTGTACTCGTTTTAGGGAAACTGTAATCCTTTCTGGGATTAGTAGTACATCTTTCTTCCTTAGAGCATGTGGTGAATTTGAACTGCCAGTCAAATGCTTAACCCGTGGCATCACCATATAACCATATATGTTGTTATATGCCGTGGAGTCGGTTCCGACTCATAGCAACCCTGTACAGGGTTTCCGAGGCTGTAAATCTTTACAGGAGCAGAAAGCCTCATCTTTCTCCTGAAGAGCAGCTGGTAGTTTCGAACTGCTGACCTTGCAGTTCATAGCCCGATTCATAACCATTATTCTACCAGAGCTCCTTTTAAAGATGTTAAAAGAAGCCTTAGTGGTGCAGTCATTAAGTGCATTGCTGCTAGTAGACTTTGGTTGGTTCAAAACTAGAGTACGAGGTGGTCTGTCAGTTTCTAACCAAGATTACAATCTAAGAAACTAGGGCAGGTCTATTCATCCTATACAGCTGTTACAAATTGGAGTCAATTATAAGGCAACGTATGTGGTGGTGTTTTTTTTTCTTTCTCAGCTAAGTCCTGGTGTGACTCTATACAATAAGCATTGAACTGTTAACCACAAGGTTGGCAGCTCAAACTCACCAGCTGCTCCTTGGACACAGGGTCACTATCAACTGGAATCAACTTGATGGCATTTAGCAACAAGAAGACATAGTAAATAGGAGTTTACTGTTTTGTTTTTGTTTCTTTTTTTGCGAATTGAGCGAAGGTTTATAGCTGCAGATCACATTCCCACATTGGACAGTTCCTTTTATTACAATGTTGCAATCCCTTCCATGTATCATCAGTTAACAGTGTTTACCTCTATTCATTTTAACTTTTGTAGTCCTCCTTGTTTTCTGATATGGTAGCATGTTTTTAAAAATAAAGAAATTTCATTGTACACCTTCCAGGTGACCTTAAATCTAGGTTGAAGCCCAGGTGGAAGGCCCTTTCTTCTCGGAAGTCTTCTCTGTTCTGTTCTTACCTAATCCCCCTAATCAGTGGACCTCCTTGTACAAAACTGTAGCCAGCTATGGTCAGCCTAACCTTGAGACACTTGGAGGGTTCCGGTCCCCAGTGCTTTCCTGACCTATACTGGGAGGTGGGAACTTGGCCCCTGGTCCCTTTTTGGGTGACAGGCCTGGAACTTGGGATTTTATTCTGCCCATAGAAGACTTACCCAGCCCCCAGGGATGTGGGAGAGGCTTCTCCTACTGAGTCTGGGAAGCAGCGTAGAAGAGAGACCACAGGTTCCCATCTGACAGAGGAGGACACTGAGGCCCAGATGGGTGAAGCCTGCTGAAGATTATGAGTAAGCAAGCTGGTGGCAGGTTGGTGGTATGATCCTGGAGCCCTGCCTCATTTTTGGCTGTTGGGCACCAAGGTTGCCTTTTAAGCAGGAGGATGGCTGAATGGATCCACTGGTCCACTGAGCAGTCACCAAGGCCCACAGCAAGCAGACAGACTCTGAAAGGACCCCAGTCCCTTGCTGCCCTCCCTGCCAGTCTCATTGCCCACGCCTGTGGCTCAGAGTTGCTATGGACCAGTTATTCTTCCAGATGAAGATTTCACAGGTAGTGCAAGGGGCTGGGGCCTGGGCTCTTAGGTGGGGAACTTTTAGCAGGAATGCCAAACTCCTGGAGCCCCCTCTCCACTTGTGCCTGGATCCTGGGCACCTCAGTAAGGTTTTGAACAAGGGACCCCATTAGCGCATCTGAGAGACCAGAGTAACTGGGAGGTTCGCCCTGAAGGGCCAGCCTGCCTGGGATGGTGTGGCAGCTCCAGGAGGACACCTTCTCTCTTTGCCACTCTAAGGCTGGCCCTTTAAATCCGAGACGATGATGTCATGACAGCTAGCAAGAGACGGGAGGGGGACTGCAGGCCTGAGGATGGACTACAACTCCCAGCAGTCTCAGGTGAGCCACACCCCTCCCAGCAGGCCCGGACTCGCCGTAGACTATTAACCCGTCCAGTGCCGGCTTCCCAGGAACCTTGGAAGTGTTTAGCCGGGGTGGGGTGGGAGCGGGGATTCCCAAGGTGGTGGTCTGGGCCTGAGTGGATCAGGCGAATCCCTGGGCCTGATATAGGATGATGGCCCATTTCCTGCCCGTGTGCTGGCATCGCCGCCTGCTTCCTGGTGTAAATTTGTGTGTCCTGCTCATTCGTTACGCAAATTCCGTCCCATAGGCCAGGGGTTCAGCCTCAAAGAGGTATCCAGCCCACGCTGCTTGCTGGCTTCCAGAGCTGGAGCTAGCCTGTCTCCTGGAGTCTGCCCACAGTGTCACCCCTGGCGTACGGTCGCCCCCTTTAAGCGGAGCGGGGACTACATCTCCCAGAGGCCCTTGGACCTGCCTGACGCATTCCTCCCCCCCCCCCGCCCGCGGGGAGGTGCGGGCCGGGCGGGGGGGAGGTGACTTGATGTCATCCTGAGCAGCTGGGCGCTGGTGCCGGTGCGCACAGAGCTGGGGCTCCGCTGCGCCGCGCTGGGTCTGGGTCCCCGATAACAGCCAAAGGTCCGCGCGCCATCAGGATAGTCTGGAGCCCGCCGTCCGTCCGCACCCCGGGTCAGGACTGAGCTGGGGGGATGCTCCAGTGCCCTGAAGCCCGCGGGAGAACCCTGGAACGTCGCCGCCCAGCCCCAGTGCCCTGAGCGGTGCGGCTGCCCCCCACCCCCGTGAGCAGGCCCTGGAGGTTGGGGACCAAAGTCTTGGTTTCAGAGAAGTGAGTGTACCCTTCCTCACTAGGAGCCCATGAGGTTTGGAGACGCTGAGGTGGGGGGAGGGTGTCCAGGTTTCAGGAGCGGGTGGTGGCATGGGAAGGGGGTCCCATTAGAAGATCTGACTTCTGGGCCAGGGGCTACATTCTGTAAGGGACAGGGATGGCCACAGTAGGGCTGGTTTAATAGATAGGTGCTGTTTTGGAGCCAGGGGCCTGTCATCTGGATGGGTGACCGTGGAAGGGGGCTGCACCTCATGGAGTACAGGCCAGGGTGGGGGTTGGAGGAGGGGACAGGAGACTCAGCCCTCAGCTGCAGCCCCCCAACCCTGTCTTTCCAGAATGAACAGACTGACCAGTTCTCTCTATCTTTTCCTTGTTCACCTTTTCTGCCCCAACTTCATTTTCCAAAGAACCAGGTGGGACCCCTAACTGGACTCCTTGGGACCCCCAGGAAGGACCTGAGGCCCGAGCCATCCTCTTCTCTTGCCTGCCTGCCTCCCAGGACTGGGCAGCTGCTGGAGGCTGTGGGAGGGGGGGGCCCAGGACTGTGGTTGTGGCCCCCCCCACGCCCCAAAAGGATGGGCCCAAGTTAGGAAGCTCAGTGTCAACCAGCATTCTCCAGGCCCAGAGGGACCCCTGGGGGCTCTGAAGGCTTGTCCACTGCCTGGCCACCATGGAGACGAAGCTGCCTCCTGCGAGCACTCCCACCAGCCCCTCATCCCCAGGGCTCTCGCCTGTGCCCCCACCCGACAAGGTGGATGGCTTCTCCAGGCGTTCCCTGCGCAGGGCCCGGCCCCGGCGCTCCCATAGCTCTTCTCAGTTTCGCTATCAGAGCAACCAGCAAGAGCTTACCCCACTGCCCCTGCTTAAAGGTGAGCCCTGGGCCCAGGCCCCTTCCAGTCCTCAGTCGCCACTGCCCCCCCAGCCCTCCGGCCCTCTTTGCTGACGCATGGCTTGACTGGTCTGTCATCCCTGGGGGGTGGGGCATCGGCCTGTGGCGCCACCCTAGGGGGCTGACCAAGGCCAAGGGTGGGGCTGCAGCCTAAGCTCCTGGAAGCCACTAACAGCCCAGTTTGCTGCCAGGGCCCTGGAGCTGGTACTGGACGCAGCACCCCGGCGTCACAAGGTCTGATGGCCAAATCAGAGAGGACCCTAGGGATCCACTGGTCTGAGCCCCCTCGCACTTCTGGCTTACAAAACATGGTGTGAGAGGGAGGCATGTCTCTCCACTCCCACCCCTCAGCCCACCCCTGTCCATGGCCTTGCTCAGACCAGTATCTTGTGAGCCTGGGTACCCTGGCGGAGTGGAGGGTGGAACAGGGGCTGTGTGCGCTCTGCAGGGCTCCTGTGGCATTAGGACCCTGGCTCAGCACCCCTTGCCTCCTAGATGTGCCTGCCTCCGAGCTCCATGAGCTGCTGAGCCGTAAGCTGGCCCAGTGTGGGGTGCTCTTTGACTTCTTGGACTGTGTGGCCGACCTGAAGGGGAAGGAGGTGAAGCGGGCGGCCCTCAATGAGCTGGTGGAGTGTGTGGGGAGCACACGGGGAGTCCTCATTGAGCCTGTGTACCCAGACATCATCCGCATGGTGAGCACAGGCATTGGGCTGCCAAGAGGAGGGGGTGAACCCAACCTTGTGGGGGTCTTAGAGCTGTGGGAATCTTCCTGGTTCACTGTGCAGGGGACAATCTCCACCCTGTTCACTTGGACTCCTGCCCCCCCCCTCCGTTCCCCTCTTTTGGTTCCCAGCACCTGGCCTGACCCCCAAGCACCCCTCTCACCGAGGCCTTGAGTACCCTTCTCACACCCCTTACTTTCCGTGGCCTGGTTCAGGTGCCTCCTCTTCCACCAATCTTTTCCCCAGTGTTCAAGCTGAAGAGTGCCCATCAGGTGGGTCCTGCCACCTCCCAAGTTACCTTTCCTCTGGACTGCACCTGATGGTCTCACCCACGCGGGGTCCCAGCCCTGGGCCAGGCTGACATATTATGAGCATCTGACAGGGACTGATGAACCCATTAGGATGAGGGACCCTTGATTTCAGCCTTCACGGTCTTCCTTAAAGAACCCTCCCTCTGCCCCTCAGATCTCCGTCAATATCTTTCGAACCCTGCCGCCCAGCGAGAACCCTGAATTTGACCCTGAAGAGGATGAGCCCAACCTTGAGCCTTCATGGCCACACCTGCAGGTACGAAGGGTTGGGAAGGCAAGGGTCTGAGCTTCAGAAGTGACCCAGGAGGGTGGGAGGAGCTCCTCAGGCTCAGGGTGTCAAATGAGGGCCATGGGGTTGAAGGTACCTCTCTATTTTCCACCCCCAGCTGGTCTATGAATTTTTTCTGCGTTTCTTGGAGAGCCCAGACTTCCAGCCCTCTGTGGCAAAGAGATATGTGGATCAAAAGTTTGTCCTGATGGTGAAGTGGGGAACCCAGGCTGGGGAGGGGCAGGCACTCTGAGGGGTGGGAGATAGGATGGTAGCCACCTTGGATTGGCCTCCTGTCTGACCCCTAGCCTGGGTCCCCCAGCTCCTAGAGCTGTTTGACAGCGAGGACCCCCGGGAGCGTGAGTACCTCAAGACCATCCTACACCGGGTCTATGGCAAGTTCCTGGGGCTGCGTGCCTATATCCGCAAACAGTGCAACCACATCTTCCTGCGGTAAGCCACCTGAGGGGGTCAGGGGGGAGGCGCCAAAAGGCCTCTGGGCTGTGGGGCTAGGTGGCACTCTGACATCAAGGTCATTCCTGCGTGTTGATTATACAAAGCCTGTGAGGTGATCGGGGAAAGGAGGCTTTTTTTCACTGTACGGATGAGGAAATGGAGACTCACAGACATCACGTGGTGTGCAGGGACTAGGTCCTTTGGACCCTTTTTGTGCCCTGCCATCAGGACCAAAAACCCCAGCACCGATGCTCAAATCACATGTTCTGGAGTGACATGGTCTGCCTTTGAGTGTGGGGCCGATCTCTGGGAGAATTTAGGCAAGTTCTCTTGCAGTTGGGCTGTGAATTTTTGTTGAAACTCTCTCCTAGTTCCCTCATCTCATTGGGAATAATCTTTGAGTTAACTGAAGCAAATCCATCAACACCAAATTGGTAGTGGTGGTGTGCTCCAAAACACTAGGGGTAATTCCCGATTGAGGCCGGAACTCTGTCACATTAGCTATAAATAGGGGGGGTCATGATCCCTGGCCCTCCATGAGCCCAGAAGTCTTCATTGACTAACTTCAGGGTCAGTTTCATTTAAATGCAAACCACTTTCATTGACACTTTAAACCTCAATTTCCTCATCTGTATATAGTGGGTCTAGGAGTCCCTGGGTGATGGCCATGGTTAACATGTTTGATGCTAACCAAGAACTTAGTGGTTTGTGTGTACAAGAGGCACCTCAGAAGGCCCGGTGATCTACTTTAGAAAGCTCAGCCCTTGATGATCCTTTGGAACATAGTTTTATTCTGACACACGAAGTTGCTATGAATCAGAGAAGACTCCATGGCAACTCTTTTGTTTGAATAAGGAGTCTAGTCTAATGCATTTTACCTGTGGTGTCATTTTGGGAAGCCACGGAAGAGTAGATGGTGTTCTTTTGTTTGAGTACGAGGATGTAACTCAGGGTCTGTTGGTGGGATGTGAGGCGTTAGATGAGTTGGGATGCGTCCCAGAGAGAGATTGGAGCTGGAACGCAGTGGCAGAAGGTAACTGAGCAGAGCAGAGGATTCTAGAGGTGAGTGTGGAGGTGGAGCTCAGCAGGGCCTAGTTTGGCACTAGAATGCGGGAGGGGTGGGCAGGCCGACCTGATTGTTCGAGTCCCTCTGCAGGTTCATCTATGAGCTGGAGCACTTCAACGGCGTGGCTGAGCTGCTTGAGATCTTGGGAAGGTGAGTCTCCTGGGCCCGAGTGGGCACAGCTTGGTTCTGGACGGGGGGATGGGCCCAGTCAGTCAGTCCCTTGAGCTCTCCTGTCCTCTTCTGCCCCGCCTCAGCATCATCAATGGCTTTGCGTTGCCCCTGAAGACGGAGCACAAGCAGTTCCTGGTCCGGGTCCTGATCCCCCTGCACTCTGTTAAGTCACTGTCTGTCTTTCATGCCCAGGTGAGCCTCTTACCTGGTCCTGCCTGCAAAGAGCTTCTCATGGGGGCAGGCAGGTGCACCGCCAGAGTCACCAACTCACAGCATCCGCTCCCTCCGTCCATTTCTTTTCCGAGGCTGTTTCATCCCCCTTGGAGGATTCCCACTGACCCTTTAAGGCTGATCTCAGACAGCAGCTCTGGGAGGCCTTCCCTGGCCTCTTTGCTTCTGCCCTAGGCAGAATGAAACATTTCTTCTCTAATCCATAGACAGGGATGTACTGGGCCGAGCATTTCCAGTGTTCCCAGCACACTGACTGCTTGCTGGCCCATCCTAGGTGCTATGGAAAGACTGGTGAACTGGAGCCCATGCCTTGGCTGTCTTGGGTGGCCAGTCCTTGGCCCCTGGCCCTCCCTGATCCCCATTTTCTCTCTTCCACAGCTGGCATACTGTGTGGTTCAGTTCCTGGAGAAGGATGCCACCCTTACAGAGCATGTGAGTCCTTTGGGATCGGGGGGAGCACAGGCCTCCACCTCTGCAGGTCTGACTGCTTTCTCCCTCAACCCACATAGGTGATCCGGGGTCTCCTGAAGTATTGGCCCAAAACCTGCACCCAGAAAGAGGTATGGAGAAAGGCTCAGATGCCCACCAGAGGGGGGTGCGTTGTGGCAGGGGATGTGAGCGCTGCCCATCTGCCCCACTCCCTCAGGTGATGTTTCTGGGGGAGATGGAAGAGATTCTTGATGTCATTGAGCCCTCCCAGTTTGTGAAGATCCAGGAGCCCCTCTTCAAGCAGGTGGCTCGCTGCGTCTCCAGCCCCCATTTCCAGGTATGAGGTGAAGACAGGTGGCGTGGATGACCCAGAAGGTCGCCTGGTCCACCTGACACAGCTCCCTCTGCCCTATTGGGAGCCACTGGGCTTAGAGGCAGGAGACCTAGTGTTGGGCTGTGAGCAAGTCAGCTTTTCATCTGTAAATGGGCCAACAATGATCTCTCCTCAGGGTGGTGGTGTGAGGGTAATGGTGAGTGTATGCTGGCTCCAGAGTGGAAATGGGGTGGACAGTGTTCCCACTTTCCCCCATAGATTTCATTCATCCTACACCAGCAGTCAGAATTCCCACAATCATACCCCTCTGCATGTATGTACAGACCACCTCCCATTCCTGGGAGCTGTCATTTGGTGAAAATCAACTCTTCTACACAGCAATTCCAGTATTTCCATTTACTGAACACTGCAAGGCCCAGTATCTCACTGAATTCTTGTAAACGCCCTGTGCAGCTAGGCATCAGTAGCCCCATTTTACAGATGAGAAAGCAGGCAGAGGTTGCAAGGTCAGCTTAGAGTGGAGCTAGGATTTACCTTTGAGGGTTCCAGGCTCATATGAGCCAAGGGCCTTGAGGTAAGGGGTGGCTAGCATACCTAGCCCAACAGACCAGCCACCACTGTCTCATCTGGCTCAGGTTGCAGAGCGGGCTCTGTACTTCTGGAACAACGAGTATATCCTGAGCCTCATTGAGGACAACTGCCACACTGTGCTGCCTGCTGTGTTCGGGACTCTCTACCAGGTCTCCAAGGAGCATTGGAATCAGTGAGTGCCAGGGACGGGGACCAGGGTAGGTCAGCTAAGACCCCGGGCTCTCCCGGAGCTGGAGAGGGGCAGGGAGACGAGGAAGTGCTGGTTGGCTTGGTGGCCAGTGGACCTTCAGAAGACATTGAGCCAGGCAGCTAGCTGGTGGGCAAGTGAAATGGCTCTCATCTCCACATCCCTCCTCAACCCTGCCCAGGACCATCGTCTCTCTGATCTACAACGTGCTTAAGACCTTCATGGAGATGAATGGGAAACTCTTCGATGAGCTCACAGCCTCCTACAAGCTGGAAAAGCAGCAGTGAGTGTGGGGGCAGAAACTAAAGGATTCCCTGTGGCCCCGCCTGAGCAGAAGGTTCCAGTCTCTCCCTTGCCTACCCACTGCAGCCTCAGACAATTGTTTCACATAAGCCTTGGGGCTCCCTGTAGCAGGGGACCCCCCCTTTAGCCTGGGTCTCATAACCGTTCCTCTGTAGTTGGGAATGGTGGGGAGGAAGGTGGTGGGAGGCCCAGGGCCCGGGCTGCCTCACCCTCTACCCTCAGGGAGCAGCAGAAGGCCCAAGAGCGCCAAGAGCTGTGGCAAGGCCTGGAGGAGCTACGACTTCGCCGTTTACAGGGGGCTAAGGAGGCCCCCCTCCAGCGGCTAACCGCCCAGGTGGCCACCACTGGAGGTCAGAGCTAGAGATCCTACGGCCGAAGAGGAGTGGGGAGCCCAGAGCCACCAGTCCCTCCTCCCCAACTTCTGCCCAGGGGCCCAGAGACACACACCTACCCCTGGCCTGGGCTAAGGGGTCTGAGAATGCCCTGCCTGGCCCACAAGGGCAGCTTTCACTTGGGGGAGAGAAAAGATGGTGGTCTGGGCAACAGAACTCTCAGGTCCTCAAGGTGGGACTTGACCCGGACAAGCTTGACCAGGAAGCTGCCATCAGGGATCTGCCCTGCTTGCTAAGCTGGGACCCAGCCAGCTACAGGCAGGTTCCTGGCCCTGCTTCCTGCCTCCTCCCTGTGCCTGCCCCTACCTCGTGCCAGCGCGAGGTCCTCTTCACCCCACCATGGGATCCATGGTCTATTTATTCCCCACCCCACCCCCACCCCCCACTACAGACAGCCCAGGACATCATCTCTCCCTCCTCTCCCTCAGCCTGTTCGTCTGCGTCTCCTTTTTATTTATTGGGCAGGGGGAGGGGGGAGGGCACAGACAAGAAGATTCCCAGTGTCCTGGGACTGGGGGTCACAGTAATCTTGGTCTAGCCCCCTTCCCCTGGCTGGGGGTGGACGCAATAAAGAGAGAAACTCATACTGCTCACTTTATTTGACTGGAGAAGTGGGGTGACAGAAAAAGGCAGGGGTTTACAATCCCAGAAGCTCTGAGGAAGAATCGGCACAGAACACTCCTTTAGGAAAAAACCCCACAGCCACTTCTCTGGAAGTTTCTAGACCCACACCTTTCCCATCAGACTGCTTGCCCGCCTCGCTCAAGGGCTAGTAGCGTGAGAGACGGCACATGTCACACTGACAGGCCCTGGCTGTGAAGATTTCCAGGTCCTCCCTCCGGCTCCCTGCACACTGCAGCCGCACCTTCACCTGCAGGAGAAGGGGACAGCCTTCCAGTCCCCTCGTATCTCCTCGCCAACCCCTCACCCCTAAACCAGCCCCCTCACCTTCTTCAGGCCACTGATGGTGCAGCATTGGGAGACGGAGGTGATGTTGTGACGATAGCCGCTGGCTACCAGCACTGAGCGCCGGGAGGGGAAGGCACTGGACTCGCAGTGGCCCACGCAGGCCTGCGCCACATGGGAGCCCTGGCAGGTGCCTTGGCGGTCACTTCGTACTGTCACGTTGAAGGCTAGGAGAGGTGCGCTGCTAAAGACTCAGTGGGATGTTCCCTGCCCTGTGGTGCAGACCACCAGCTCCTTCCTCCCACCCAGATTGCTCGCTGGTCCCAGATTACTTACGGTGCAGGTGGCAGCCTGGGGTGATGGCTGCCTGAGCCCAGCCTTTAGGGACCACCATGACCAGCAGGCAGAAGAGCAGGGTTTTAGGGAACGCCATGGGCACCTGGGTGTGCAGGCCGGAAGGGGGTCTTTAAACTCTGCACGCACCAGGCAAGGCACGCCTGTGCAGGACGAGGTCTGCCTATAGGTGTGGGTGTGCCTGCCGTGTCACTGGTGGGCACGTGTGAGCAGCTGTGAAAGCGGTTCTCCCTCCAAGCATCCCTCCCTCCACGCCCCCTCATCTGCAGCCCTGAGCTCCCCAGCTCCTCTATCCTCTATCCTCGGCCTGCTCACCACTTCTGAGGTGGGACAGAGCAATGGAGTCTCTGGAGCCTCCCGCTGGTCTCCAAACTGAGGCCAGCTCTCCTCGGGTTTTTATTTCTGTGGTTGGAGCCACGCCCTCACAGAGCTTGGCTTTCCTGCCTGCCTCCCCAACCAGAGGCCTAGAACAATCCCACCTGGGCCAGCCCATGCCTCAGAGAGTTCCCTTCTGCCCAAGGACTGAGCTGGGCATTGAGAGGTCCAGACTGGGATGAGCTGGGGCCACCTGGGTTCTCTTTTCATGTGGTGTAACGTTGGGCATGAGGCTTCCCTGTTCAGGCTGCCCGCCCTCCAAGCTCAGCCCTGCAGCGGCAAGGCACTGGGGATGGGGTACAGCATACCTGAGATGTACCTGTTGGCAGGCCCGTTTCATGTTTCACTTTGACAGTGTCGCTAGGTGACTTCTCACTTTGTGTCATCTAGATGGGGCTCTGAGCCAGAAAGTGCCCCATCCCTGGGATCAGGGGCCTGACTCCTAGAAAAGCCCAAAGCTGTCAATCCAAGCAAGCAAATCCCACCATTTCATATAGCTCTCACTTCACAAGTGAGGCAACTAAGACTAGGACAGTCACTACAGGTCACACAGCTAGTTAGTGCTGAGGATGATGACAACTCCAAGTCTCCTGCTGTCCAGGCTGGTACTAAGTTACTCTGGGGACCATGATGTGAGAAGTCCGGAAAACACCCCTTGTTAGCAGAAGCTGGGGGCATGATGGAGCTGAGGGAGTCTGTGGTAATTCTAGGTCCCTGCTTCCCTGACCAACTCAGAGTCCATTAACTCCTCCCCTGGGGGATGAATGGCCATCAGCAGTGTTGTAAAGCAGGCCAGTCTGGGCAGAAGAGGGCAATGCCATCTGAGGGGAGTTGGTATTTCCCACCGACCCCTTCAGTACCATGTGCTCAGGTACCATCGCTCACTTCTCCCTACAGAAGGGGAAGGCTCCAGATCAAGGAGGTTTGGGGGCCTATGCTCTTCCCTCATCCCTCCCTCCGTCCCCCAGCATCTTGCTGGCTCCCAGGTGGGTCTAGACATCTAATGACTTTTGAGTTCACATTACCTCACCAGGTAGCCTGTTGTCCTAATATGGGGCACTGCTCATAATTAAACAGTGATTCGTTCCTGATGTGGATGGTGGGGGGGGGCAGCAACTCAGAATGGGAGGGGAAAGGATGGGAATAGCTGCATAACTCCAAGAATATCCCCAATGTCACTGAATTGTACATGTATAAACTGTTGAAATGGTGTCTGCTGTGCTGTGTATATTCCTAACAAAATAAAAATTTTAAGTGATTTTTTTTTGTTGTTTTTTGAATTAACATTGGCTCCCCTATGTCTCCATCTTATCGTAGTTCCCTGTGGCCACATGAGTCTCATCTATGTTTCCAATGAACCCTCCAGGAACATGAAGGCTGCTCAGACGCCCTGGTCTCCTGGTCAACCCTACACTGTCTCCGGTTAATCTGGAGTCTGCATCTGGCCAAAAGGTCAGAAGGGTAGATGGGAAGCATTTTGTCTGTTGAGAACCTGCTGATGCTTTGGGGTCAAATTAGGTGATGTAGGGAAGGGAGGGCTTTCTCAAGGGCCAGCAGAGCTCAGGACGGTGAGACTGATAAGACCCCTTCCCCTCAGCATGGAGTCCGGTACTGGCCCCAACTATCCAGGCAGACTCGTGTATCTAGAGGGGTGAATATGCTCTCCCTCACTCTCTCCACTTCACGAAATTCTATCAATAACTCTTCATCAATAATTTATTGTCATTAAAATCCTAAGAGCTACAGACAAAAGACCTGAACTGGCTCTCAGGGCAGTAAAATTGTCAGACGAGAGCATTTTTGACAATGCCGTTCTCATTACAACATTTAAATGGGAGAAAAACATGTGATGATAAAAAGGGGTAAAAGCTAGGACTACCCCACACGAGGGGCCTCATCCGCCATGACTGGTTGTCCCAAGAATGGTGAGGATGAAGGAGGGCTAGCTTGGGAGGTGCTCCTCAGTGCAAGGCAGTGCATTAGGAAGGCTCACTGGCTGTCCTTTCGGAAGAAATAGTTGAACGGGAAGAGCGAGCTGCAGGAATGAGAGTGGGGTAAGCTGAGACTCCGACAGGCCTCCTCCCTTTCTCCCCAGGAGTGCTTCATTGGCTATAGCTCTTATGCTCTGGGGAACCACTGAATGGAAACTCAAGTCTGGATCAGCCTTTGAAAAGGTACCCAAATTAGATTAAACTCAGGAGAGGAAAATAAATGGAGAGCTGCCCAAGGGGTGGCTGAACTACAGACAGCTAGAGATCTGCTAACTGCTCTTTAAGAACTCAGGAGACACAACCTAGATCCAGAGGGGAAAATGGACACACGTTAGTAGCCAGGTCATCTGGAGGGCCCACAAGCAGAAGAATGATCTCTGTCCAGCCACCTTTACCACATCCCATGTTCTAGCCCCTGTGCTGGCCACACTGGGGTGGGGCTAGGTGGTGTAAAATTTCTTAAGGGCCTTCACTACCACCTTCCTCTCTTGTGTCTACCTATCCTGGACAGGACACCGAGAGCTCGTGGGTCATCTCCTTCCTTCTGGAAGTTCTCTGAGGGACACAAGGCGCCAAGTCCTGGAGCTAGAGCTTGCTGGCCCTCCACTGGATGCAGAAGGGCAGTCTGTCCTACCTTAGAAACCCAAAGAAACCAGTGGCCCCCGGCTCTGTGGGTTCTTTAGGTAGAGATGGATTACTCTGTTGAGTTAACGGAGCCACCTGCCCGGCCACGCTGTCCTCCCACTGGGATCCTGCAAAAAAAAGACACTCAAGCAGAGCAAAGGTAATGTCAGTCTGGAGGGTACGTTCATGTAAAGAGTGGGGATATGAGCCAAGGGCAGCTTCACAGCAGCCTCATCTGAGGCCTGAATGTCGAATTGTCTCTCAGCTCAGGAAGCTGCTATTCTGACCTCAGAGAATGTTCAAAGTCAGGCCTTGAAATCCTTACAGGGCTCAAGACCATGAAGGCTAGTATGTCTTCACCTGCAATAGCATTTTTTTGATGAAGTCACTTAGGTGTAGCTCTGCTTCTCTGACAACTGGGTACAGGATTAGCAAGGTGAAAGGGTAGCCCCTCACCATGCAGGCCCAGTCTGGGTAGACCATCCATCTACCTTCAATGAACAGAAATGCTCCAAAACTTCCACAGAGGTAGATGTTCCAACAAGACAGAATCAGACATGTCCCTCCCAACGATGGCTGTAAAACTCAGCAGCCCTCTCTGCACTCAACGTAGCCTCTGGAAATCGTACTGGTGGGAAGTCAAGGACTCTAGGGCAGGCTCTGGAGTAGGCCTGGCTAAGTGTGCCTGGGCACAGAGCTTTCTGCTGCTCTGCTCACTTAAGAGCACAAAGGGGGCAGGGTTCTATTTAGGGCATGTGCTTATGAGTTTCTGAAAACCTACCCTGTTCCTGGACATCCGTGTTGTCCACTGCCGGGGCCTCCTGCCATTCCTGCTGGTGTTTTCTCTCTTTGTTCTGATTTTAAAAACACACAGAAAAGTCTTAAGCTTTTATATAACTTGGTGGTCTGATTTCACATTAGTGTTAGGCCTGACTTTGGATGGTTCAGGCAGGTTCTCTAAAAGGACTCTTCTTTTTCCATTTCAGCTTCCTAACCACTGTCTCTCCCACACTGTAAGCCTTAAAGATTAAGAGCCAAGAACAATGGTTGGGTTTTAGTTACCGTTGTGTGTTACTGAGTGCCTACCATTGCCAAGGACAGAATATTGAGGTTTCAGAAATCAGGAGATACAGAAAAATAACCGTACCTTGGAGAAAGGTAGAATCTATGGGGTAAAAGTGACATGTAAACGAAATGTTACAGGACAGTGTGATGAGACTAGAGGCGGAGGAAGCCATGAACTGAGTAGCTGTGGTGAGGGCAGGAGGCCTCACAGGGGCCGTGATATTTGACTGGGATCTTCAGGAGTGAATGGCGCTTTGCCACAATAGGGGTGAGGAGAGGATCAGGGTGGGAGAGCGTTCTAGAAAGGGACAAGATGTAACAGGCACAGTGCCGTACAGAGTCAACATAATCAACACAGGCAGCAATAAGGCTAGGGCATAAGAAGCTAGTACAACACAGTGCAATTTTAGGGTTTCTTTGTGCTATTGCTGATAGGAACTCCCTGTGTTTTGTTTTTTCATTGTGAATTGAGTGATAGTTTACATGGGAGAACATTGGTTTTAAACTCATCATTTCATTGCAGTGATTACACTCCCTTCCATGCATCATCACTCAACAGTACTTACTTCTTCCTGTGTATTCTGAAGGGGACAACCTACAACCTGGCTCTAAGTCCAGAACATTCTTCAGTAAACATCCAGATAGTGATAGTCAGAAACACAGTTCATGTACAAGGGGACTTCAAAAAATTTGTGGAAAAATTTAAAGATAATGTAATTTTCCCACAAACTTTATGAAGATCCCTAGCCTTTTCTTTGAAGTCCTGGTATAGCACTGTGGGTTAATGCACTGGACTGCAAAGTCAGTATGAACCACAAGGTTGGTGGTTCAAACTCACCAGTCCCTCCTCAGAAACCCTATGCATGGTGGATATGAGGCAGAACCGATTCAATGGCGCTTAACAACAAAGCCTTTTCTTTGGGAACCTCTGTCAACTGGCCAGACCCCTTACATGGCTAGACCTTACCCAGCAACTACCCAGCAACCCCTAGGGAGTTTTTAGAGATATTTTACTAGTGAAGAACTATATAGCAAGGGGTCACAGACAAGCCCCCAGGAAAGGAGTCCCCATCCTAAACAAGCTTCAGGTCAGAAGGCAGATAGTTTTGAAATAAGCTTCTCCACAAAGCCCTCAAATCTAACCACACAATCAGAAGTCTATAAAAGCCATAGAGGGAATTCGGGTGGAAGGAGGCCTGTCCTAGACAGGCGAGAGATGGGACTTAGAGGGGCCTGATCCATCTCTGGTTTCTAGCTTGAGGGAATGATGCTTACAAATTTAATAAAACTCTGGTTTGGGGCTTAACTCCTCCTGCAAGGTGTGGCCATACCGAAAGCATTTACTGAGGTTGGCAGCAGGAACTAGAAGAGCACAGGCCCTCTGACAGAGGGTCACTACCTCGGAACCAGGGAAACCACCTTTACAAGATTCGTTAGCTTTTGTGCTCTCCTGTAATCATGAGACTGTGGAGGCCAGCGTCCTAAGAGAAGACAAACTTTGCAGCCTCTGAACCAAGACTTAGGGGACCACGTGGAATGCCCTCTGCAGCTTCAGGGCCAGGTCTGCCTAGACATGCAGTACAAGCAGAGGTGACTAAAGAGCGACATGCATGATGATCAACGTCACTTCTGGGCCATCTGTGTGCTCACCCCATTTTCTTTCCTCCCCAAGGCTGGATCTCTTAAGTCAGGGATCTGAAATACTAGAGGTCATTCATGGCTTTGCCCTTACTTCTCATTCTTTCCCCAACATCACTTATGAAAGAGATCTTGTCAGATATGAGCTGTGTTCTTCTAGGCGTTCCCTACACAGGCTCCTAATGTGCTCAGATGTGTGTGATCCACGCTGACTGGGATCCTACACCTGCACTTCCCGCAAAGGGCAGAGAAAATATTAAGCACTGGACTGTAAGCAGATTCCATTTTCCAGCTGAAGAGACTTACAATGAGAGTCACTATGATCACTTTAATTTAGGAGAAATCTGCTCGTTGGGGACAGCGTCTACAATAGAAACTGTCTTTAGGCTTTGAGTCAAAATCAATAAACACGTTTCTTTTGGTTGGGTTGCATTTTGCTCCGAATTTTTTCTAAACGCAGTTATCAGGTTGAAAAGGTAATTATGTTGAGTAAGAAGCTGTGGGCACTGTTCTTGAGGGAGATGATGTGTCAAACTAAGAATAGGAAAGAACGAAGGATAGAGAGTGAGGAAAATGTTCCTTTAGTAGTAATTATCTTGGTTGTATAAAGCGCCTTTGTTCTCCAGAGCTTTGTGTGTTCCACTTGTACTTTCTCCGTTTGTCTTTTTGCCTCTTGGAAGGTGGGTGATAGGACAGGGCAATCAGCTGCCTAAAATCACTCAGTGAGTGGCTGACCAAGGTATGACTGGAAACCCAGAACTCTCACCCTGCCCACACAGGCAGTGGTCTAAGTACCTAAGGGAGCATTCTTCCCCCAACTAAACAGTAAGCCCCTAGGAACGAAGAAAGCACCCCCAACATTTGCTTGTGTGGGTCCCAGTACCCAACAAAGTCCACTGTAAAAAGGAAAAAGAATAACCTTTTTAAAATTAAAGTCATGTCACTCCTCTAGCTTCAAAATGTTAATTTAGTCAATTCTTATGATCTTCTAGGTCCAGTTTGAATTCCTTAGCATGGCCATGCTGACCTCTCCAGTAACCTTTCTCAGCACTGAGCTCCAGGTGTACTGGTTGGCAGTCCCCCAAAGCATCAGACCTTCTTGCCCTTGGCTTTAACTCCATAGGGTATTCTGAGCAGTTGGGGAACCCTGCCCTCACACCACTTGGTCTGTGTGAGGTTCTCCTTGGTACCTTTCCCCCTCTGTGCTCTGCGCTTTCTAGTCCTGCACCCATCACATCTATAACTCGTAGTCTTTAGGGTAGAGCATGATACTGCTAGTACCTGACATATTGTAGACACTCAATAAAAGTGTGCTGACTACATTCATGTGCAAATCTTTGCTTCATAACTTATCACCTTAATGGTCCAGCCAAGATGAGGGAGGTGAGATGTTAGTGTTGGGGTGCTAGGGTCAGAGCTACTTCGATGATATCAGACAGAAGTAAGAAAAAAAAGGATCTATATGGCATGGTTGGATAAGCACTGGACTGCTAACCACAAAGTCAGCAGTTCAAATCCACCAGCCACTCCAAGGGAAAAAGATGAGGCTTTCTGCTCCTGTAAAGATTTACAGCCTCAGAAGCCCTATATGATAGAGTTGCTGAGTTAGAATCTACTTGATGGTAATTGGTTTGAGTACAAGGCATGGAGAATAGTTAATAGTTTAGAGCAAATGAAAAAGAGTACAAATTTAAAGATTATTACGAAAAAGATATCCTTAAATGAAGGAATAGCAGATACATGAATGTCTAAGTGAGGAAGAGACCCCACAAATGAAATGAAATGCCACTGCTCTAGTGATGATGTTTTCTTTCTTATCAGTGTCCTGTGCTTACACAAGCCCATTTCATCCGTAAACACTAGACACCCCTAGATTCAGTCCTCTATGTAGACGAAGGCAAAACACTTTTGAGAGAGAAAATCTTATACTGGATCCCACCTCAATTCAATACAGACCTATTTTCTTGATTGCAGAGTATCTACTTTGCTCAAAAAGCAGCGGCTTTTTGAGCAAAGTACAGAGGACCTTTTAACAAAAGAATCCATCAATGTGTGTATTACACAGCCACTTTGGGGATGGGCTATGGCAAGGGCAGCAGAGCTGAGTGATGCTCTATAGACAGTTAACCCTGAGAATGAGTTCAGTCAATTCCGTCTACACTCAGGACCAATATGTGCTGGTAACATGAATCCCAACTTGAAACAGCAGCCAACAGCCAAGAGCTTAGAAAGCCATTTTGGTGCTTACCTTTGTGATTTTCTTTTTGCTGGGGCATTGCTTGGACATCCCTGCTTTTTCCCTGGGGTGGGGAGAAGGAGAAGAAGAAATTCCAGACAATGTTACTGGTATTAGCAACAATGCCACATTCATGAAAACATGGCCTAGATGAGTATTTCAGCAGGTTGGCTAGCTTTTATACTACTCCTGGCCTGCAAAACACACTGTGTGGCCAAATTCTCTGTGGGTGCTGCTCTAATTCAAAGTAAAACCCCAATTTGAGACACTTAAGGATCTGAGGGTTGAGGAAAGGAAAAGACGATTGGTACCATGGATCAGGTTTTGAAATACTTGATTGTGCACCAAAACCCAGAGACAGGGAAGATCCGAGACTACATCTCCATGGAAAATTCAGTGCAACATAATAGAGCCCAGCTTCTCACCTCCCTGTGCCCTCACTCCACCTGGCTTCCAGTGCTCACTGACTTGTGCATCTGGAGGGGGCAGAGCTAAACTCTCTGGTGGTCTGCCCTCACTGCTCCTGTAGTCTAGGGCCTGCAGACTCCCCAGAAAAGAGCAGCTACTCTCTGAGAATCTGGGGTGAACGCACTTAGGGCCTTGGAGCAAGCCACGTCTTGGGTCACTCCAGCAGCTTGTTCTGGGATGCTGTTAAAAACAACCGACACAATCAAAAGGTACTTCACTCATTAACTGAAAGATAGACTCTATCAAATATTTACATTTTTTGCACTGTACCGCAAGGTTGGTTTGAACCACAAGGTTGGTGGTTCAAGCTCGCCAGCCATTCCTTGGAAACGCTATACAGGGTCACTATGGGCGACTTTAACAAAAACAACCTCTTAGGGTAGAATTCCAAAAGCACACTGCTCTCTGGGTAAAAGAGAATATTTCTTGTCACTCTTTTGAGGGTTTCCCTATGCTTTGTATAATATAAAAGGAGACAGAGTTGTTTTGCACTGAAGAAGGGAGACTTTCTTCTTCAAGCTTCCTGATCCTGTGATATCGTAAGTTTCGTGCCCTCTGCCTGTGCCTTATAATAGATGACCGTTATAGGTGATCATAAAGTAAGTGTGGACTTCATCCCTCATCTTGAGGAATCCTACTTTTCTGAGGAGGGACTGTGTATGAATTATATTGCAAATATCCACTGGCTTTGATAGTCCACCCAATGAAGCCCTGAGAGAGAAACGGACACAGCCCAGGGCAGACCATCCAGTAGCAATAGCAGACCAAGCTTATTTCATCTCGCCTATATTACTGACCTGTCCAGTCCTGACGTCCTGGGTGTACTGGACACTTCCATGTACCTTCGTTTCCTACTCAGGGCTCCTGCTGATTTCTTCTCATCAGCAACCTTCAAAGAGAAACCAGACCTGGGACCCCTCCTTTTCCAGGTGTTTATGGCAGCTTTTGAGGGCCAAGTGAGAAGGACACCCCAACTGTAAATTACCAAAGCCAACTTTTCACACCTGCTTGGCAAGTATGGATAGACTTTCTGCTAGAGACACAGGGGATAAATGGTTTCATGCCGACACTTCTAAATGCATGTCCAAATGGAAAACAAGAAGAAGGGACAAGAACAAGACACTTTTTGTACAACAGGAGGTAATAAAGAAAACTTTCAATTAGTCTAAAATAGACAAACTTACCAATCCAAGAGGAGTGCTGTTTACTGGTTCACCTACAAGAGGAAATTAGCATGTCTTACTGGGTTAAGACTATTTCCCCTGATCTCTGGCCATTACTTCATTCTCTGGACTGACCCTTGACACACTGCCCTGTGTACTTTTCTCCCTTCTACCTGGTACTTTTTTTCCTAGAAAAGAGTGTCTTCAAACTCTTTTCCATTTCAGAACTATTGTCATCTCCAAGCTGACAAGGGTCTGATTCACGTGAAGTTCTAACAATCCAGGGGGATGATCCTTACTACCAAAGAGAAAAGAAGAAGTTCAGGCCTTAGTGGCAAATGAACTGGGTAGACATTGTAAGGCATGGTGCCCTCTTGTCCCTCCATGAAAAAAAAAAGCCTCCAGAGATTAGAAATCGGTAGCTGTCTTTAAGATGCCACTAGAGTGAAAGCCACTGAATACTCTGAATTAGGAGAAAGTATTTATATAAGTATCTTTTACTGAATACCACTCTAAGTCACACTTTGTATTTTCACCTACCAGTACTTACATATTCAATCCTCTTAACAACTCAAAAGAGATAGGGACTGTTGTTTTTCCTTACCATTTTACAAAGGAGTTACACAAAGATAAGCAACTTATCTAAGGCCACACAGCTATTAAGTGGCAAAGGTACTAGGGTTTGCACAAGAGAGTCTGGCTTAGAGCACATGATCTTGACCTCTACACTAGGCGGTACGGGGGCCCAGTTTGGGTGACCACTCTGTATTGTGATTGTACTACTAACCCATGGACAGCCAGCCTTCCCCCTTTCTACTCTACTACCCACACTTCCACTCACCTGGTGATGGGTTTTCATGAAACCACTTCATCTCTACATATAGAGTGAAAACAAATGGGTAAGGGATCAAGACCATTTCTCCACGTTTGAATTTCAGGCGGGAAACGCTCTCCCACTGGCTTTTATCTGGAAAATGGTGCTAAGGAAACCAGTCACCATCCACAACTATTATCTCAGGGAGGAGACTTCTCCTTTTCCTGACTTATCCTCCCAACTGCCCATTGTTGTGCTGCTCCCATTTGTATCTCCCATGTCAGCTGCAGCTCATTTCCAGCCAGAAAGAAAGGATACAGGGAAATATAATGAAGTGTTCTGTAGCAAAAGGCTGCAGATTGTCCAAGTTTCCCAAAACCACGCGAATAGACTCCTAGAATAAAAATTTGAAATGACTAGTGGTGGCTCTGTAGGATAAGCATTGGACTGTGAACCACAAGGCCAGTGGTTTGAGCCCACTAGCCACACTGCGGAGGAATATGAGGCTTTCTGCTCCCACAAAGAAATACAGTCTCTGAAACCTTATCCAGGGTCACTTTTGAGTTGGAACCAACCCGAAGGCACGTACCAACAGTCTCAGCCAATCTACTGTTACTGTTCTTCACATAGATTAGAGTTTATTAGAACCTTTAACATGCCGTTTACAACTTCATTTCTATGCTTTTGCACAAGCTATTCCCTCTGCCTGAAATGTCCTTTCCACCCATTGGTACATATCCAAATCTTATCTATCCCTTAAGGCAGAGTTCAAAATCATCTTCTCCCAAAAATGTTCCTTGAATCTCCAAGTTGTAAAGAACTGTGTTCTTAAACTTCAGAGTAGCTAGCATCTGGCCATTACTACACTCCTTATACAGGTTTTACTGTCTTTACTGTGTTGTAAAGATGGTCACGTAGAGTCAAACTCCTCTAACTTCATGAGCAGGAAGAATTAGCATCAACAACAGCTACCCCAAATTAGTACCATCCTCCCATGGCACTCTCCACTTCTCTGCTGGGTTCAATAATTTGCTGGTGGTCACAAAACTCACAGTTACAGAGTTTATGAGGAAAATAACGGATTACAACTCAGGATCAGGAACAGGATCAGGAAGCATGTAAGCAGGACTCCTATCTTTCAGCCAGGCAAGGCTCCTCTTAGCCCCTTCGGAACAGGCTTGTTCTCTCAGCCCTCAGCAGTCTCTGCCCTGCTTGGGCAAGAGTCACATAGCTCGTTAACTCCACCAATAAGTACCTAGAGCCACTCCACTTCATCAGGGAACCTCCTGTCCACAGGCTGAGACTCAACTCTTTCATTTGGTAGCTTGGCTCCCCTAATGTAGCTGCGTTACTCTATGGGCTGGGAAGCCCACCACCCTATCTTGTTCCCGTCTCCTGGTTTTGCTGCCACTTTGTCTCTGCTGCTGCTTCTTGCTACCTCGCACCATTCCTGGTGTAACAGCTCTCTATCTCGTGGCTCTACAAAGTTCTCAGTGCAGGGACTTGCAGGTCCAAAAGATACTCTCTGCTCCCAACTGCTTCTTAGTGGTAGTAAGCTCCCACCTCTTGCCTCTGGGATGGCTTTTAACCCTAGCAGGATGGCAAAACTGACCAATTCCCTTAAGGTTCCATATGACTTATTTATATTAGCAGCAAGTTGCCCAATCCCTTGGTGGGCAACAAGCATATTATTTGCATAGCTCTACGTTTGAACTGCAAGGTCAGTGGTTCAAGCTCACCAGTTGCTCCTTGGAAACCCTATATAGGGTCGCTATGGGTTGGAATGGACTCGATGGCACTTAAACAACAACCCACTCGTTGGAGTCCTGGTGTGGCACTGTGGATTAATGTGCTGGACTGCAAGGTCAGTTTGAACTGCAATGGTGGCAGTTCAAGCCCACCAGCTGCTCCTTGGAAGCCCTATATAGGGTCACTATGGGTTAGAACTGACTAGATGGCACTTAACACCCACTCGTTGAGGCTGATGCGGGATCGGGCAGTGTTTCTTTATATGTGCATGGGGTTGCTATGAGTCAGTACCAACTTGATGGCAGTTAACAGCAACAACAACAAAAATGCACTCATCAGAAGTCCAAGTGTGGCACTATAGGACTGGTAACTGGACTGCTAACCACAAGGTTCATGGTTCAAATCCACCAGGTATGCCTCAGAAGGTAATACAGAAACGGCTACAATCATACATTGACAGAGAACTTCCAGAGGTTCAAGCTGGATTCAGAAGAGGCCGTGGAATGAGAGATATCA